ACCGCAACTAAAGATCCAGCGTGTCTCAACTAAGACCCGGCACAGTCTAATAAATAAATATAAAATAAAATAATCTTCGTATAAAGAAACAAACAAAAAACCAGAACTAATGAACCAGATAGTGAGCAGTCTCTTATTATATCACATACTCTGAGAATGTTTTAAATGAAGAAATGTTTTACCTTATACTTGTCAAATAAGAGATTTCAGAGATAGTCTATTCTATGAGTAACAAACTCAAATTCTTCCAGGGCCCAACTCGAACGTGGGGTTCTGCAGAAACGAGAGAGAACGGGATCCAACTGAAGGCATTCAAATCACTGTCAGCCCCTGATCTCATCTCATGGTTTCATTCCCCATCTAAAGAAACTGAAGAGATTAGGTTCAGCAGAGTTTCGGAGGCTACATAGCAAACATATTATGCAGCGTTGAGCGGAAAACAGAAACCATGTCAAGTATTTTAAGCCAAAAGAGATTTTATAGAAAGAATTAAGTGACTTGGCGAAAGGCTGGATATTGTTGAAAGGGCTACAAGTGCAGGGTCTTGGCTGGGCCTCCAGGAGTAACTTCTAGAACACCAGTGGATGAGGCACTGGGGAATATACTATTTTGGGCACAATCGGGAGAAACCTTGGAGTTCAAGAACATACTGCAGCTCTGACCCTGAGAAGCTGGGATCTGGAAGCTTATCTGGGCAAGGAACTCAGAATCTGTTCTTTACCTCCCTGCGCTGCCTCCTGATAGCCAGAAAGCTGATGATTCAATATGGCATGCTGAGACTAGTTACTCTAAGCCCCTCCCCACACCCACTGGCATCTCGTGCACTTCCCGTGCCAACAGAAAAGAGCCAAAAAAATATCAGGGAGACTGTCTGTCTCATCTCTGCCTCTGAGATCTCAGACAAGCCATCCAGAAGTCTAATTCACATCCAGAACTCTAAATGGACCGGAGTCTGAGAAATGTTTTCAGCTTTCCAGTTTCTCCTATTCAGGAAGGAACGCTAGCAGCAGGTAGGAATGAACGTGAGTGCCAAACTGCCATTCCCAGCACAGCAGCTTTTCCTGTCGGCCCCAGGAATCAGGCCTCCACCACTGACTTGTCCTCTCTTACCCTATCATACCTTCTATGGAAACCCCCCAAAAGCAAAAATCTAGTCAATAGGGCTGTAATTCTAAAGACCTTACGCTAAAAAATACGTGGACGGGTCATTTTATTCACATCATTAGGTACAGGGTAAACCACACTACCTAATTGACTTGTTAGGTATATTCTGACCCATTGAATTTTGCTGAATGGCAGAGACTGTATTTAATTCATATTTGCATCTCCTGTCCCCAGGTCTGCTTGGCCCAGAGAAGATGCCCGGGCATTTGCTGAATTGAAATGGTTTACTATTGACTCACTAATGGAAACAGTAAACCGGAATTTCATGAGCTACAGGATAGCCCCAATAGTATCAGGATGCGAGCCCGCTACAGAGGCATGGGGGGAAGGGGGTTTTCGTTTTTCAGAAGAAACAGATGTCGATCTGGCTAAGCAAGGTACCTGCTGTCTCTGTCCACTGGTGTCTTGGATTTCTCGATGGGATGCTAAAGTTAGTGGTGTCTTCCCACTATGACTCTTTTGGGGCAACAAAATACACCAGAGTCCAGGGTGAGATTACAAGGATGCCATAAGAAGCTGATGCCTGATAAGTAAAATACAGCCACAGACTCTGCGTGAGCTCTGAGCAGGGGCTTATTTATATTCCCCAATCAGCAAGATCTGATTAGTCTCAGCACATTAGGGGGGCTAACCTAGGTCAGCACCCCCGACAACGTCTGGTGGATCTGAGAACAAAAACAAAAACTTACTCCAATAACAACGGTAGACAGACACACACAGCCAGCCGGCCAACCAGCCTCCACGCCGCGTACAACCAGAAGGCGCGGGGCGCTCGCTCTCCGCGTCCCGCCCGGCACAAAGCTGCAGCCGCGGCGCCGCTTTAATTTACACTCACTGCCCTCCAGGGGGTACTCACCTCGCGCTCTCGGGCTCCGGCCCCCGTCTCAGCCCGGTAGATTAGAAAAGGGGCTCGCAGGCCTGCGGGGGAGCCGGGTGGAGCGGGTTTCCTGCTGGCGCATCGCCCCAGGCGGCGCCGAGGCTGCAGTTATTTAAGATAGCGGGGCTGCGCGGCCCCACCCCGCCCCGCCCGCGGCGAGGGCGGTCCCGGGAAGGAGGCCGGGCGCCGGCAGGGTGGACCCCGCAGGGAGCCCGCACGGCGGCCGCTCCAGGCGTCCTCCGCGGGTCCGGGGCCGCAGGGCGCGGATGCACGGCTTTGCTCTGGGCCCTGAGAATCGCAAGTCCACACCCCGGGACCCTGGAGCGGCGCCGCGCGGGTGGCGGCCTCGCTGGCCCCTGGGGACCGGGCAGCCGCGTCTCCCTGGGAGGCCACGGGCTGGCGGCCCAGCGTGCGCCGACCCCGGCGATGACGAGCTCCCGGGCGAGGACGCGCAGCGCTGCCGCTCGCAGAGTCGGGAGTGCGGCCTGCGCAACCTATCGCTGGCTTAGCATTCCCATCTACAGTCTGGACTTTCACTCCACCTTTTCAGTTGTGTTGTTCCGAAGTGTCTTCTCAGGTGGGGCGGATGGGCCTCTGTTCAGATGACCGATTGAGTGGATGAAAGACTTGTCCTCTCCCTTTTATGGCTTCTTCAGCGCTGGCCCTTCTTGCTGTGTTGTTTCAGATTTTTACGCTCCAAATCAGCATCCATTTAATTCTGCCTTCTGTTTCCGTGTCTTCCTTTCCTCTATCTTTTCCTCCCCCTTCTCTTCCCCCTAATTGTGTGTATATGCGCCGGTGCCCCTTTCAGGGTAATTTTTGTTTCTTTCAGAAATGAAATTGTCTTACCCGTTTTTCACTGCTTTAAGCAACGGCCAATTTTAGTCTCCAACAGCCAGAAACCATTCATGCTTCTTTCTTAGGCCCTCACTTACGGAGAGAAGGATGAACCTAGATTCCATCTAATAAGCGTCTAAAGTGACTATATTCCTAAACGAACACTTACTCTGTGAAACCTTGCAAAAGTTTCCTGTGACACCCAGCTTCCTCTTAGCACAGGAATGAAATGTATTTTTCCTTTTCTTTCAATCGCATGATCATTGATGTATCACCCAATTTGATTAGCACAGCTTTGGAGAACATTGGATTTTGGGGCTAGTTTTCGCTTTTTTATTGTTTATAATGTTCTATAGTTTACAGTTGTGAGTTTCCCTGGTGGTGCAGTGGTAAAGAATCTGCCTGCAATGCAGGAGACACAGGTTCGATCCCTGGGTCGGGGTGATCCCCTGGAGGAGGGACTGGCAACCACTCCAGTGTTCTTGCCCGGGAAAATCCCATGGACAGAGGAGCCTGGCAGGCTGCAGTCCATGGGGTCACAAAGAATCCAACAGGACTTAACAACTGAGTAGGCATGCATGCTTATAGTTATCTCTGGGAAAACAAAGTCTAAGGGAGCATTTGTTAATATGTAGAATCCATTTTGTAGTATTCATCATGTATTTATTTAGAATTCATGTTTTCATAGCTTACATATAATGTATACTGACTCAGAGCATTAAGTAGATAGTTCATAACATACTTAAAAGCTTCAGTGTTCCATTACTTCACTGATAATAAGTTATAACATTCTGATTACATCACATCAAAAGAAACCCAAGTCATTTGGCTCAATTCTGTCATTTTACAAAGCAGAAAACTAAAATTGAAGATAAATCGGATGACCTGGGGTCTAGGTAAAAAGCCAAGCTATATGTGCTCCAGTAGTGGAATACCTGGACCAGACCCCTAAAGCAAATCTTATAATCAGTGGATTCTTCAGGCAGGCTAGTCAAAATATCCTTTGCTGTCAGGTTTAACTCACCCTCATCAACTGCATGTTCTGCTTCATATATACAATTTTAACCTTTATTTAACCTGTTATTGTCCATTTCAAAATTTTCCTTGTTAATATTTACAGTTATAAGACAAAAGATTAAGAGTCACTGCTCATTTACTGAGATCTGTAGGTGCATCATACATATCATTTGGTCTTCTGAGCTAACAACAAATAAAGCACAAACATAAAACTCTAATACTAAAAGAACAAGAAAAAACTTCTCCCTAGTAGTATGTTATGGAATTATTTTCTATGGATTTACATTGAAATGTTTATTTTCTTTAGTTTTGTTTATTGTTATATAATTCATTTCTATTTATACATCCAGAAACTATTTCTAAGTTTCATGTTCTCTTATCTGCTATGTCAGAATTTGGTGAGGAATCTATATTTAATCTAAAAAATATCCCCCAAACGAGAAATACTGTAAATTAGTTAACCATATGTTTATTATGCCCATGTCAAATACTGCTTTTTTTAATAAAGATTTTTTAGTTAGACTAAAAAAAGTACTAAGAAAAGTGATGGCATCCATTAAGTATAAATATCTGTGATTATTTTTCTTTTACATAACAGATCAACAATATGTAGTCCTGAACCTAAAACCCTTTAAGTGTTGGTTACTGAGGCCAAACTCCTTTATACCTTTGGTGTTCATTTATAATGGTGTAAAATTTTAAAATGAGTACCCACATATAGATCAATGCAGAACTGTACAAAAATATCTGGATGTTGGGAAATAAAATAAAGTAGAAATGAATACCATTTAAAAAAAAAAAACAACTTTTTTCCTTCATATTCACATTTTAATTTTTACATGCTTACAAATTGAGGCTTATTCTTAAAATATTCTTTTTGCAGTGAGTTCATTATCTCACCAATCTACAATGATTTCAGAACAGAATGGAAAGAGATTTATGTATTTAAAGACTCAGATTCTTGTGAACAATGACATCATCAAAAGTTCTCGTTTTCATTAATTTGCCGTTAATTGGAAAGAGAAGATGGGTGAGTTTTCTTCGTAAGCAGGTTCACCGTGGACAGGAAGGGCCCGCCTTCCCGGCAAGGAGACCCTGACTGAAATCACAAACTCCAGCCTCCATCAATGATGACAGGATTACCTGTGACGTAGGCAGACTGCAGTGATAAACACAAGGAGACACAACAGTTAACCAGGTTGTTTCTTCGGTTTTCCTGACTGAGACAGCTGAACAGTTTATTCTCACAATACTAGGAAATCTCACTTAACAAAGAGAAATTAGAAAAATCTGAATTAAATTCCAGATGATTTAAAACTGTGGAGTGTTCTCATTATCTGGGGCTAACTGGACTCTTGCTGGTGTCTGAGTGCATGTCACATTCTAAGAGTGTTTGGTATCAGAATCAGAAAATTAAAATTCTGTGATACAGAGTCATTCCCTGAATTAGGCTAAAATAGGCATTTTCATTTTGAACTCAGAAGTATTCTAAACTAGCTGAGTTTTATGCCACTAATAAACTTTTGAACATCATCAAGTATGTCAGTGATAAAGTGGTCATGTCAATCACCAAACAGAACTTTGTTTAAAAAGATGTACATTTAGTTAATCAATATACATGGCTAATTCCAGGAACTGAATCACACTAAATATATTTTCTAAATTTATATGAATAATAACTACTATAATCTATTAACCAAGGAAACAATGTAAACTAGTTTCAGACATCTAAATCTGTACAAAACTAAAGGAGTTTAAAAATTATGGGTTTTTTTTCCATAGAGTTTTTATTTTTCCAAAGAATTAAAGCTGAAGTTGATTCTTGTGGTAGAGATTCAGAAATATTTTAACTTAAACCTTTGGCTAATGGATAATCAAGACTCAAATCTATGCTCTTCGTCTTAAATACATCTGAAATCTAAAATAATGGAAGAGGTAGGAAGGAAAGAACATCATAACAGGAGTACAGAGTGTTGTAAAGTACAATATATGAAAATAAGCATACAAAGTATTTAGATAAATGAGTGGGTTAGTAGTCACTCTACCAAGAAACAACCCCCAGTTTCTCTAAGTTTTTTTAAAAGGCAGGCTGTCTGATCACATATGGACTCTTCAGGACCTTTTTAAAAGATAAAGGTCCGTTTGTTGTGTATTTCAAGCCAGAGTGTTCCCAAATATTTGCTAACCTAAGCTCTGGCTAAATCAGGGCAATTTAGCTTATCCGCAGTACCCCCAGATCAAACGAGCTTTTCTGAAGCTATGGATTCAGAGAAATCAAAAAAAGGCAATATACTCACTCCATCACAATCTGTCCAGCAGTTTCCTCAGCTACAAAAAACTGCTATAAATGGTTCTGAGAAGTAGTCACTGCTGTCACTAAAACATTTCAGCCTCTGCATTTGTCACATTCATCAGCTACCGGATGTGTCCAAGTTTCCTTCAGGAGATGCTGACTGATCAGTAACACACCTCCGCACTCCCACCTACCCCCGCTTTTCTTCTTTTAGTTTCCTGGTTGGTTATTACTCAAAGGCATAAAACACAGGGGATGTTCTTGTGCTCGACACCTTACAAGAAATATTTCTAACAAAAAATTTCTGTTTTCACAACTGTATGTCATTGGTGGCTCAGATGCTAAAGCATCTGCCTGCAATGCAGGAGACCCGGGTTCAATCTCTGGGTTTAGAAGATCCCCTGGAGAAGGGCATGGCTATCCACTCCAGTATTCTTGCCTGGAGAATCTCATGGACAGAGGATACAGTTCATGGGGTCGGAAAGAGCGAGTAACACACACACACACACACACACACACACACACACACACACACAAAATACACAGCAGCCAATAAGGAAGAAACTGGTTACAAATACATGCAAAGTGGAAAGAGACAGAACTATGAATTTCCATACATGAATATAAAGAAGTAAGAATTCATAGGGGAAAAAAGGAGGATGTAGGGGGATTCTGCTAAACAAATCACTAATAAACTGAAAGCACCAGATGCTAATGCTTCGTCTCCTGCACACAAATCTGATTTACCCTTTCCCCATTTTAGCTGAAGCTGTCACAGCTTTGGAGGTTCACTGGTTTGATTTACATTAAATCATTGCTTAATCATTATTTTGTTTCCCAAGTTGGTAATTTTTGAAAAGAATGATACAATTGAGCAATTTAATTTTAATTAAATTGAGCAATTTTAATTTTTTTTCAATCCTTCACCGCCTCATTTGCTATCAGATTTAGTGACATAAAGCTGAATAAGGATGAGTTGGTGGCTGAGGTCAAAGTGGCCTTAATGTCAAATTAAGTCAGCACCTATCCCTACTTTGTAAATGCAACATCTTAGCACCTACATGTGATCACTTCCTAAATTACATTATTTTGATCAGCAAACTGTGGCCAAACATGATTGAGGATAATGAACCCCCCAGGAGGAACAGTGCTTACTTCATCGGAGGCCAAGTACACGCAGAGCAGGGCTACTTCTTCTGCAGTTGCAAACCTTCCTGTTTTCTGTCTCTTTAGGAAATCGCTCAGTGCCTGTAACCAGAAACCGTATCGGACATCAGTGATGTGAGCTGAACTATGAATGCACCTGCCAACACCTTTAGGAGGTCAAAGGCAAGACGAATCTACAAAGGAACTGCTGATTTGATTAAGTACGCATGATACAGAATACAGGACAATATCATTATTGATAATATCATTAACTGTGGACCAAACAGGACTATGGTAACTCAAACTACTCAAACTATTTGTTTTATATTAAAACCTATAGACACCATGACAGATCAGAAAGTTAGTACTAAAGAGGGCATTTTTACGTTTTTTTAAAATGTGGTAAAATGCACATGATATACAATTTACCATCATAATCAATTTTCGTGTACAGTTCAGCAGTGTTAAGTACATTCACATTATTGTGGCACAAATCTCCAGAATTCTTTTCATCTTGCAAAACTGAAACCCTATACCCGTTAAAACAACTTCCGACCCACTTTCTCCCACCCCCTAGCAACCACCCTTCAACCTTTCTGTCTCTATGGATTTGTCTACTCTAGGTAAGGAAGGGGCATTTTTTTAAACAGCATCATTTAAACATTTAAAACAATAGCTATACCTCTTCAGGATTTGGTCTGGCTTGTATTCTTTCTTGCAGAGATGGGGTATCAACTGTTCCTAAATAAAAGGAGGGAATTCAGCTTGGTTACTTACTTAGACTGAAAAAGAAATTGACAATTAAACTTTAAACTTGCTTTCCTTATCATTCAATGATCAGTAAAATATTTCTTCATGACTTGGAGTGAGTTTCCCCTCTACCTGCCTGCCCTTTTATTTAACAGTCTTATAACTTCTTTAATAACATTTTTATGATTTTCAAAAACACAAGCTATTCTTCTTTGTCATACTAGGCAGGGACTCTTGGTGAAGCACCCAGCATTCCCAGGACGTCCTTTGGTCTCACCACATTCAAATGATACTTTATGGATAACTTAGGTAGCTCTACATTCTCCTCATTATCTTGAAATTCTCATTGGTTTCAAATTCCTATTTTAACCATTGTTTCATATTTCTCATTGAAAAAATATAACTTTAAATTATCTTAATTAAAACAAGAAAAATAAAAATGACTAAAAATGTTTAAATTGTGAGCAGCAGTGAAGACCCAGCACAGCCATAAATAAATGAATTTAAAAAAAAATTTTTTTTTAAATCCCACTTAGTTCATATTCCTTACAGAACAAGTTCCCAGCCTTTTTTGTTAACTTCTGTGATCTGAAAATTCTCTTTATAGGGCCTTTCTTCTGCTAACAGTACTCCAGGAGGACCACATGGTCCTTCTAAGGTCATAAAAAAATGATTTCACAGTCACAGCCCCAGCTCCATCCTTAGACCACGCTCCTGGGTGTGTCATGGATTTGATGTCTGCTCGGAAACAATTTCTTTCTTTTTTAGATTTTTATGGGGGTGTAATTGATTTACAATGTTGTGTTAGTTTCAGATGTACAGCAAAGTGAGTCTGTTATACATGTACATATACCCACTCTTTTTTAGATTCTTTCCCTTACAGGCCATTCCCGAGTATTGAGTGGAGTTCCCTGTGCTATACAGTAGGTCCTCATTGGTTATCTATATTATATAGAGTAGGGTATGTATGTCCACCCCAATCTCTCAGTTTATCTCCCTCCTTCAAAACCAGAATCTCAATTTTATTATCATTTGCCATTTCTCTGGAGAGGCTGGGGATCTTCGAAACCTAAAAATCCTGGCTCCTTGCTGTTGAGCAGCCCTTAGCTTGTCTATCTGCTCTCACATGTTACTATGAGCAGGCGGAAGCTTCCCCAGGCTGCGTAGCTGCGGCCTTGGATACATCGCCTGGCTCATCAGGAACAATTTCCACCCCTCAGTTACTGAAGGCAATAGTGTTGATGAAACTTCTTACACCACACAGCAAAATCTCTGTATCCAATCTCCGATGATATTTTCCTCATTTCCCTCATCAACAGCCTCCTGAGAGTCCACAGTTCTACCAACGGTGTGCTCAAGGCAACCTCCTCAAAATTCTTGCTGCCCACTGGGGCAGATGCACACCATATCTTACATGTGACCGGTATTAATGACTAAGGGTTTCCTTTGTGGTTCAGATGCTAAAGAATCTGCCTGCACCATTACAGTATACTAACACATATATATGGAATTTAGAAAGATGGTAACGATAACCCTATGTGCAAAACAGAAAAAGAGACTCCTATGTATAGAACAGACTTGTGGACTCTGGAAGAAGGCGAGGGTGGGATGTTTCAAGAGAACAGCATTGAAACACGTATATTATCTAGGGTGAAACAGTTCACCAGCCCAGGTTGGGTGCATGAGACAAGTGCTCGTGCCTGGTGCACTGGGAAGACCCAGAGGGATTGGGTGGAGAGGGAGGTAGGAGGGGGGACCGGGATGGGGAATACATGTGTAAAAAAAAAAAAAAAAAAAAGATACACTATGGTTGTGATAAAAAATAAATTAATTAATTAATTAAAAAAAAAAAAAAAAAGAATCTGCCTGCATGCAGGAAACCCAGGCTCGATCCCTGGGTCAGAAAGATCCCCTGGAGAAGGCAATGGCAACCCACTCCAGTGTTTCCTGCCTGGAGCATTCCATGGACCGAGGAGCCTGGTGGGCTACAGTCCAGGGGGTCGAAGAACTGGACACAACTGAGTAACTAACACGTGAAGGCTGAGAGGCTAGCCGAGTCCTCTCACGCGATTCCAGCCGCCTGACCCTGCCGCGTCCCAGCAGACTGACGCACCATGCCATCGTCCGCACCGGTCTGGTGCTGAAGTGTTGTGACTCTACCATCAGTACCATCCTAGACTCTCATTCTTCGTCACATTTTCTTCTGTGGCTGGCTCAGTGAGTCAAAGCTAGTTCCCTGTCCCAGACAGTGTGAGGATATATTTTCCAGTCTTCCAAAAAGTCCAGCTTTAAAACAACCATATTTTCCAAATCATTAGACATTTTATTCCATTGGGTAAATGGCACCAAGAATAGCCAACAATATCACCAGTGTGTATGTTAAAACCTAGCAAAACTGTGTCTCTCCTGTCAGATCCTCCTATTTCTGTTCTTAAAACAACATTTGTTTATTTATTTGTTTTAGCTGTGGCACATAGCATCTTCAGTTGAGACATGTGGGATCTAGTTCCCTGACCAGGGATCAAACCTGGGCCCCCTGCAATGGAAGTGCAGTGTCTTAGCCACTGGACTGCTGGGAGAGTCCTGATCCTCCTCTTGGCTAGTGTTACTTAAGTTTACCTTTCTAGTCCAAGAAAAATTGAACAGAACACTTCAATCATGGAAATTCTGTAGCTCGAAGGTTACTTGGTAGCTTCACCCCTTTAATCCAATAAGTCAGTGGTTTTCAACCAAGGGGAGAGCGTGAAGGATGACATCAGAATCCCCTTTCCAAACCATACAGTGTTCCCCCATAGACTCCTTCCCTGAATTCTGGCGTGCCCCTTGGGTTTGGAAAGGTCCCACGGTTAATTGTGAAATGTTTCTCCTCCCCACCCCCCAACACCAGTTGTGAACTACGAAGAGAAACTTTGATTCTGGACATGCAATACCGAATTTGGTTTCAGAGAGGAAGTTGGTAATTCCTCTTCAGCACCCTGAACAGGCAGACCTCATTTTACTGCACTTTGCTTGACTGCACTTCACAAGTACTGCATTTCTTACAAATTGAAGGTCTTTGCAATGCTTCTTTGAGCAGGTCTACTGGCAGCATTTTTCCAATAACATTGGCTCACTTCATGTCTCTGTGTCACATTTGGTAATTCTTGCAATATTTGAAACTTTTTCATTATTACTGTATTCGTTTTTTTTTAATTAATTAATTTTTTAATTGAAAGATAACTGCTTTACAGAACTGTGTTGGTTTCTACCAAACACCAATATGAGTCAGCTATAGGTACACATATATCGCTTCCCTCTTCTGTGGGAGCGAACCGCCCTCCATCTGTGATCAGTGATCTATGATGTTACTGTTGCAAAATGATAATGACTCACTGAAGACTCAGATGATGGTTAGCATTTTTTTTAGCAATAAAATGTTTTTGAATTAACATATACACATTGTTTTTTTAGGCACACTGCTATTGCACGCTTAATAGACTGCTGTATGGTATAAACATAAATGTTCTTTCTACTAATAATAATTTCTCCTGTTTTCCTTTCCTTTACATGAGGGGCCAGCATACTTTTTAGTCAAAAGTGAGACAGAATGTATTTTTAGCTTCGAGAACCATTCGGTCTGTTAAAACTACTCAACTTTGACTTCGGCATGAAAGCAGACTTAACCAGTACAGAAACAAACTGGGTGGGATGTGTTCCAATAAAACTGTGTTTACAAAACAGGTGGTGAGTCAGACCTGGCCTGCAGACCACAGTTTGCTGAGCCCTTCTTTATAGCATAAAGAAAGGTGTTAATCCCTCCTTTTCATTTATGGGCCACCCGCAGGTGACTGACTCGACTCAGTGGCTCCCTGTGTCCGAAGGCTCCTTTTCCTTCCGGCTGTCCTGGGAGTACGGTCTACTTTTCACCTTTCCTCTGACAAGATCATCCTGGCCTGCTTCCAAAACACCAAGCCCGGGCCAGCTATGACTCTTAATCACAGGGTTTAGAATGGCCCCCATCCACACAAGTAGCATTTAAATACTTTGCATTTGTTAAATCAAAATGGCATCATTTGTGCTAAAGCCCATGATACCAAACCTGTATTTAATGCCTAACCTAACTGCAGTTTCAGTCTTTACCAGAAATGGAATCTTAACCAACCAGTCTGGAATTTTCTGGTCTGCACCCAGTGAGGTAATTGACCTTGTTGGCCCTCTATGCCCCCAGAGGAAGAGGAGGCAATCTGTAACATAAAATTCATGCCATCCCCTCCTCCCTAGACTAGAACAGGGCTTCCCAGGTGGCGTAGTGGTAAAGAACCCGCCTGCCAATTGCAGGAGATGTAAGAGACGTGGATTCAATTCCTGGGCTGGAAAGATCCCCTGGGGGAGGAAATGGCAACCTACTCCAATGCTCTTGCCTGGAAAACCCCATGGGCAGAGGAGCCTGGCAGGCTTACAGTACTTAGGGTACCAAAGAGTCGGACACGACTGAAGCAACTTAACACGCACACAGCCTAGAAAATCCTTTTCTTTTGCCAATGACTTCCTTGCCCCATCCTCCTTTCTGTAATAACTTTCCATTTGTATAGAACTCCTTGGAGCATCCATCTAGTTGCTAAACGGGATGCCACCTGATTTGTGAATCACTGAATACAGCCAATTAGATTTTCAAATTAACTTGGTTGAAGTTTGCTTTCTAACACATCTGCAGGTTGTTCCTAATGACTTAGGATCTTATTGCCAACTTACTGTGGGGCTATTATCTTAATAACCCGAGCCTCCTTTTCTTCCTCTGTTTAAGAACGTTATGGTTTTATGCCGGAGTGCAGTTGCTTTACACCGCTGTCTCTTTCTGCTCTGCTGCAGAGTGGATCAGCTGCATGTGTGCACATATCCCCTCCTGTTTGGGCTTCCCTCCCAGTCAGGTGTCCACAGAGCAACGAGTTGAGTTGCCTGTGCTATACGGTAGGTTCTCGTTGGCTATCTGTGTCATACACAGTAGTACATACACGTCAACCCCAATCTCCCCACTTGGCCCATTCTGCTCTCTTCCCTGTGGTGTCCATGTTTGTTCCCTACATCTGTGTCTCTATTAGCCCAGGCTCTTTTTCTTTTGAGCTTTGCCCGGTGACAACGCAGCAAGTGGTAAACGAGCCGACACAGACGCCTTTCAGGGTGGCAGCCAGGGGGTCAGAAAGGACAGGCTCCCGGTCCCACAGCGCCCAGCTCACCTGGACACACACAGTTGCACCGGATGCCCTGCTGGATGAAGTCTGCAGCCACGGACTTGGTGAGGCCGATCACGGCTGCCTTGGTTGTGCTGTACACGCACCTGTTCACAACTCCTGAGAAGGAAAGAAAGGGTTAGTCGCTCAGTCGTGTCCGACTCTCTGCGACCCCATGGACTGTAGCCCGCCAGGCTCCTCTGTCCGTGGGATTCTCCAGGCAAGAATGCTGGAGTGGGCTGCCATGCCCTCCTCCAGGGGATCCTCCTGATCCAGGGATGGAAACTGGGTCTCCTGCATTGCAGGCAGATGCTTTACCACTGAGCCAGCAGGGCATATCATACCTGAGAAGGAGGGGAAGAAGAAATAAAACGCGCAGTCTCCTTTAGGAAGCAGGAGACCATTGTCCTGCTTCCTCACACTCCACCCTTTTAAAAATTGCTGTCAGTTCTTCTCCATTAATAGGGCTAGTTTCTGAATCTGGGGAAATAGTATCATTGTTGGCACAATTCAGGTGAGACTTCCGTGTTGAGATGCTACATTTAAGTGAGAGCTGTAGCCTTAGCTTTTTGTCATCAGTTGGTAGAACCCTTAGGCAGATTCCAAAAAAAAAAAATCCCAAAATAAACAACTAGGATAAATCAAAGTGAAACAAAACACAACTCAAACAAACCGATTTCTTTGTATGCCTCTCCCAGGAGGGCTTACTGTGTATCCTTGCTGAAAGAAGGAATGTTATCTCAGCAGTAGCTCCTGCATCCTAAACTCGACAATCCACCCGTACCGTCACGCGTCATCTCCACATCTGCATCGCAGTCTGGCCCTGCAGTGTGACCTCCCGCTCAGGGCTGGACCACACGTCCTTGGGCAGCTCTCCCCAGTCCACAGGCAGAGTTCCATCACTGGTATCATGACGGCACGCTGCACAAAGCTCTGTTCTAATCCTATCACGCTGCAGAAGATGTGTGTTTCCCCATCTCTCTCCCCTTTTGGGGCTGTGGATTATCTCTGGGGCCAGGGGCATCTAGTGGATGTTCAGTACATCTTTTTTGATTAATTAAATGGATAAATGTTTCCTTCTCCCATTTTGATCTTCATTTCCATATCCATTTAGAGGGGAAAAAAGGGAAGGCAAAGCAAGCAAACTTTAGTTCCATGATTGGTTCACATATAAGGCAAAAGGCTTGGTCCTTAATTCCAGTTTAAAAAAAAGCAGTTTTGAACTCATGTGTGGGTTACATGATCTCTGCTATGCTTGTTCCCCAAACCCTTAAGCTCCTGAAGATGTGTCAGTCCGTGGGTCATGATTCCCAGAGGAAGACACGCCTACCTTTGATGCTGGAAGCCACAGAGGACATGTTGATAATGTTGCCAGATTTCTGAGCCAGCATCTGCCAAAACAAAAAAAAGATAGAAAAACCCCCCAAAACATGCTATTCTGCAGGTTAAAAATTCTACCGCTTCCAAAGATGTACATTTGGTGCTTTCCTGGTGACTCAGTGGTAAAGAATCCACCTGCCAATGCAAGAGGCATGGATTCGATCTCTGATCGGGGAAGATCCCACATGCAGTGGAGCAACTACACCCATGCACGGCCACTCCTGAGCCTGCTCTAGAGCCCAGGAGCTGCAACTACCGAAGCCCACGGGAGCTAGAGTCTCCCGTGTCCTGCAAGAGAGAAGCCCGTCAGTGAGAAGCCTCTGTGCAGTGACTAGAGAGTAGACCCCGCTCTCAGACATTAGAGAGCCGCAACAAAGAGCCAGCACAGCCAAAAATAAGAACTAAACCAAAAGACGTGGTGGTGGTTTAATTGCTAAGTTGTGTCCGACTCTTGCGACCCCGTGGACTGTAGCCCTCCCAGGCTCCTCTGCCCATGGGATTCTCCAGGCAAGAACACTGGAGTGGGTTGCCATTTCCTTCTCCAGCGGGTCTTCCTGACCCAGGGATCGAACCCAGGTCTCCCACATTGCAGGCGATTCTTTACCAACTGAGCTACGAAGGAAGCCCCAACTTAAAGATGTACATTTACTTACAGTTTGCAGAGCTACCTTATTAACTGTTAACACTAAGCACCATGAAGCAGCCTTAACGGCCTCACCCAGTCACTCCTGGGAACTGACGGCCTGTGTACACATTGGCAGGAGCTTTACTCAAGGGGTTACTGCCTTCTTGGGGCACAAGAGTATCAGCAAGACCAAGAAGGGACCCTGAGCTAAATGAAAGGCTGATGAATGTTAGTGTTACTGTGTGTTCCTGATGGAAAACTCTTACCATTTAACACATTCTTGTTGAATACCTACTGTGGTCAGGTACAGAATCACGACCAGTGATTCAAAGACAGACGACTCAGTCCCTGCCTGCCTGTAGAACTACCATTCTGATCCAAGTGCAGCAGGAATGTCATCTCAGCAGTAGCTCCTTCATTCTACACTCAGAAATCCACCCGTACCATCATGCCTGATCTCCATGTCTGCAGAGTCTGACACCGAGGAGCGGGGTGTGGAGAGAAGGAATCAGCCCAGGTTGAGGGGCATGCAGAGGATGGCTGATGTTTCGAAAGCTAGAATATTAGTTAGAAAAAGAAAAGAAAAGGGTATTTTGAGGACAGTAAACCACTGTATAAAGACTCTATCACAGAAGTGGGGGATGGGATGAGTGCAGCTGGAACACATAATTTGGGAGGAAGGAGGCTGCAGAGACCAAAGGGGCTACATTTAGGAATTCGGGTTGAAACCAGAAGGCAGTGTGGTGGAGACAACGAGAGGTTTAAAGCAGAGGGGAGTGGCGGGCTCAGATTTGCAGGTTACAAAAATTACCCTGGCCTCATGCACAGGGGATCACTGGAAGATGATGCAGGGATTTAGGAAAGGAGATGCCGCAGTGATAAAGAATCTGCCTGTCAGTGTAAGAGATACAGGTTCGATTCCTAGGTCAGGAAGATGCCCTGGGGTTGGAAATGGCAGCTCACTCCAGTATTCGTGCCTGGGAAATCCCATGGACAGAGGAGCCTGGCAGGCTGCAGTCCACGGGGTCGCAGAGTTGCACACGGCTGAAGGGTAGAGACCAGAGGTGTCTGTGGGCAGTACGGGTGGAGACAGTCGAGGTAACCTGGACAGGTCTTGGGACCTGGCTGCCTGCAGTGAGGGCTGTACCCCCACCCCACCTAAGGCAGTGTTACCCAACAATACCTCCGTCAGAAGCCCCCATGGAAAGTGTGAAGGTCTTAAGAGGAGGGTGTGTGGCTGTTTTGTCTTCGGAGACAGGGTACCCAGCAGCCAGTCAGTATACTTAGTAAATCAAGACTTGGTGAGGTGCTAGGTTCAAGTGCAGATGGCTGAGCTCTGCCCCAGACCTAAAAGGGTACATCAGTGAAAAAAGCTGCCATGAGTTAAAAATGTTTTCAGAGGAACTTATACTTAAAAGGCATATGTATGTTTTCAAGAGATACACATCTGTGCAAGGGCATGGGTAGTGTGAAAGTGATAGTCACTCAGTCGTGTCTGACTCTCTGCGAGCCCATGGACTGTAGTCCGCCAGACTTCTCTGTCCATGGGATTTTCTAGGCAAGAATAGTGGAGTGGGTTGCCATTTCCTTCTCCAGGCCCGACTCAGGGATCGAACCCAGGTCTCCTGCATTGCAGGCAGATTCACATGGGTACCCACCCACGAATGTTTGAGGGGGAAGAATCGAGAGTTGGAGAGAATGCCTGTCTAATGGGTGTTGCAGCAAAAACAGAAATGAAGCTTTTCCTCTGCTGAGAACAAGGAAAGGAAAAGAAACTGACCAGACTAGAGAAGAAATATAAACAGGCCTGAAAGAGTTAATCACTCCCAGCTTAACTATAACGGTTACTAGTCTGTATCTCACAAAACTAACCAGACACTATGTAAATTACAACCTGCACCTACTGCCCCTTAACTCTATGTAAATTACATCATGGACCAGGTGCTCACCTTCCCCCTTCTTTTGCAGACTACCCCTTGTAGCTTTTTGCATTTCAAAAGAGGGCCACAGTATGATAAACCACAGACAAATGGACCTAATTACTGGACTGCCAGGCCCAATTATGGGCTACCTGATGGCAACCCACTCCAGTGTTCTTGCCTGGAGAATCCCAGGGACAGCGGAGCCTGGTAGGCTGCAGTCCACGGGGTCCCTAAGAGTCAGACACGACTGAGTGACTTCACTTTCACGTTTCACTTTCATGCATTGGAGAAGGAAATGGCAACCCACTCCAGTGTCCTTGCCTGGAGAATCCCAGGGATGGACGGGGGAGCCTGGTGGGCTGCTGTATATGGGGTCGCACAGAGTCGGACACGACTGACGTGACTTAGCAGCAGCAGCAGATGCCAGCTCTGACTGTTTTGAAACAAGAAGAAGCATGCAACACTCTCACTACTTCACTCCTTATCACATACCCCAAACTGTGAGCCCAATCTATATGATGCCCTCAGATTCCGCATGTGGGGGGCACAGTTCTTGAGGTAGTAGCCTGCTGTGTACTCCTCTTGGCTCACTGGGGATTAAAGCCATTTTCCTCCTCTCTCCAAGCTCTGTCTCTGTACTTACTTATTCCGCATCCGTGGGCAGAGAAAGTCAAGATTTTGGTGGTAATATGGGCACTAACGCATTGAAATCAGAGGGCGTGGGGATGACTGTAGGGAACAAGGCGGAGATGGTAAAGAGTCAGAATAAGTGCTGGGGGAGATGGAGAACACAGGAAGGAAAACCGGGACACGCCCTGCTGCGAAAGGCAAGGACACACAGAGTTTCTACGAGGGAGGAGCCTCCGTAGGCAGTGTAAAGGCTCTAAGAAAAAAAATCACTTCCGTTGGGGCAAGTTTCTCCAGCAGCTTTCAAAGAGATGAGGAATGGAGAAGGCAAATGGTTCAAGGACCCAGAGATGAGTTGGCCAAGATTCTATGTTTCCTTCTGGCATTCTTACTTTCTGTTTTGATACTTAGCTACTAACTGTACTTAAGAGCAGAAAGTCTAAAATAACCGTAAGGTCTTATGTTGGATGGACTAAAAGGACACAAGGAGAGACTGAGGTCAAGGTGGCAGAAAAAGAAAATATTTAACCCAACTTGTGTGTCTATATGATAAAGAGGAGTCCTCATAATAAAAGACTAGGAAAATTAGCAAAGTATAACAGTGCTGAAAATTAAGCCTTAAAATTATTTTCTTATCCATTTTATCAAATAACATAAGATCTTGAGAAATCTGTATGCAGGTCAGGAAGCAACAGTTAGAACTGGACATGGAACAACAGACTGGTTCCAAATAGGAAAAGAAGTACGTCAAGGCTGTATATTGTCACCCTGCTTATTTAACTTATACTCAGAGTACATCATGAGAAATGCTGGGCTGGATGAAGTACAAGCTGGAATCAAGATTTCCAGGAGAAATATCAATAACCTCAGATATGCAGATAACACCACCCTTATGGCAGAAAGCGAAGAAGAACTAAAGAGCCTCTGGATGAAACTGAAAGAGGAGAGTGAAAAGGTTGGCTTAAAACTCGACATCCAGAACACTAAGATCATGGTATCCAGTCCCATCCCTTCATGGCAAATAGATGGGGAAACAGTGGAAACAGTGGCTCATTTTATTTTTCTGGGCTCCAACATCACTGTGGATGGTGACTGCAGCCATGAAATTAAAAGATGCTTACTTCTTGGAAGGAAAGTTATGACCAACCTAGACACCATATTAAAAAGCAGAGTCATTACTTTGTCAGCAAAGGTCCGTCTAGTCAAGGCTGTGGTTTTTCCAGTAGTCATGGATGGGTGTAAGAATTGGACTATAAAGAAAGCTGAGTGCTGATGAATTGATGCTTTTGAACTGTGGTGTTGGAGAAGACTCTTGAGAGTCCCTTGGACTGCAAGGAGATCCAACCAGTCCATCCTGAAGGAGATCAGTCCTGGGTGTTCGCTGGAGGGACTGATGCTGAAGCTGAAACTCCAATACTCTGGCCACCTGATGCAAAGAGCTGACTCATTTGAAAGACCCTGATGCTGGGAAAGATTGAGGGCAGGAGGAGAAGGGGACTACAGAGGATGAGATGGTTGGATGGCATCACTGATTCAATGGACATGGGTTTGGGTGGACTCTGGGAGCTGGTGATGGACAGGGAGGCCTGGTGTGCTGCGGTTCATGGAGTCGCAAAGAGTCGGACACGACTGAGCGACTGAACTGAACTGAACCGACCTACGTTAGTTAATTCCCCAGTCTCACCGAGGTGTAACTGAAATACACATGGGATACATGTGCTGTGCGTTCCCAGTCACTCAGTCACGTCTGACTCTCTGTGACCCCATGGACTGTCACCCACCAGGCTCCTCTGTCTGTGGGATTCTCCAGGCAAGAATACTCGGGTGGGTGGCCAGTCCCTTTTCTAGGGGATCTTCCCAACTCAGGGATCGAGCCTGCATCTCCTGTGTCTCCTGCATTGACAGGTGGATTCTTTACCACTGAGCCACACAGGAAGCCCATGGAATATATGTAGCCCAGCTGGGGCTCCTCAGGTGGCTCAGTGGTAAAGAATCCGCCTGCCAATGCAGGAGACAGACACAAGAGACATGGGTTCAATCCCTGGGTGGGGAAGGTCCCCTGGAAAATGGAATGGCAACCCACTCCAGTATTCTTGCCTGGAGAATTCCACGGACAGAAGAGCCTGGTGGGCTACAGTCCATGGGGTCACAAAGACACAGACATGATAACGTGATTGAGCACGCACACCCACACAGAGTTTAATTTATAAAGATGGACTATTGAATAAGTTCGGTCTCCGATCTTCTGAAATGCAATAGATTCCTCAGGCAGAACTTTGGCGTACAGTCACCTGGGACATGTTAATGCTGCCCTCTAACCCTTGGACTACGCGTTTAGCCCAGGTCTGCCGGCTGATTCCAGAGCCCACAGTCCTTGCCTTCCTCCCACGCTGCCTTCTCGCCACCAGCTCAGACCTGCTGTCTTGCTGGGAATGCTCCTCTCTGGCAGGTGCGACAATAAGATGAAGTGCCGGACACGGCAGGGCTGTGAAGCATTGACATCTAGAGACTCAGGAAGGTGCTGCAAAGATCTCTCAAGGTTCCCTCTCGCTGAATCTGGTGAGTCCCACTGTGAGCCCTTCTGCCCTCCCTGACCAGAGCTCAGCTCCTAAATTTGGCAGACCTTGGCTTGTCTTCAGCGAGTCCATGCCTGACCTCCACCCGGACTGACAACCGAGATTCATTTCTTCATCCAGCAAATGTCTGCTCAGCACCTCAATGTGTGAGGGACTCTGCTAAGATTCAGCAAAGGGGGAAGACCCCCAGATATCTAAGACCCTCCCGGATCCTTGCTGTACTGGATCTTCTCTTCTGGTGGGCCTTGGATTCTGCACTGACCTCCTTTTACAGTATTTTTAATTTATTCTCTGCTTTTTCAGTGCTCTTTGAGTCTTGGAATGGTTTTCTGTATGCTTACTCAGGAACCCTGGAGTCCACGTGGTCGCAGAGTCAGATAGGACTGAGCAACAACAATAGCAATTCATGAACAAAAATTTCTAGTATTATTCCTGTGTTTTAACCACCTGACCTTACAAATCTGCCTAGACTCCAAACTCTGGCTTCCCCTGGAAAGTTCTAAGCTGGTACATGTGCATCATAGTTAAGGAACATAATTACAGCTGGAAAAGATTGTGGAATCTGTCACCCTCATTTTAAATAGAAGAAACAGATGCTGAGAGAGTGCAGAGTCACCTCCCAGGTCCCGTGGTGACTTAGGGGCAGGGCTCAGGCTGCCTAAGGTCTTCCGACACCTGATTCCAAGCCCCCAGGTCAGGTCAGTTAGGGTCACTTGAACAAGTGACGCCTTCTGATTTCTCATCCCAGTCATTAATATCTCTTGGGATTTTTTACACATGAGTGTCACTGACTCACATGGATTATTGTTAAATGCTTTACCTCTTAGGCAGACTCACTAATTTGGAAGTTAGCATTTGATATTTTAGAAGTTAACACTTAACAAGTCTAAATTTTGGCTCCACCGTACCTCACACCTACATCCTTTCCAGTGTCTGCCAGACATTCGGTGTACAGATGTGTCGCCTATACACACAACAGTCTTATCCATCTGACTTAAGCTTCCTCTTTTACCATAGCCTCTGCTTTTCCTCTGATCCTATGCTAAGGATCAGTCTTCAAGAAATACACTCCAGTTCAGATTCTCATGAACTCCAATCAGGCAAAAAAAAAAAAGCAATTCTGGGAATTCCCTGGTGGTCCAGCGGCTAGGACTGCATATCCACTGCTGCAGATGCAGGTTTGATCCCTGGTAAAGGGAACGATGATCCTGCATGCCATGTAGTTTGGCCAAAAAGAAGAAAATAAAAGGAGAAAGTTTTAAAAATGTATATTTTTAAAAAAATTGCTAGTTCAACATTCCATGTTAGTTGCTCAGTCGTGTCCGACTCTGTGACCTCGTTGACTGTAGCCCACCAAGCTCCTCTGTCCATGGGATTCTCCAGGTAAGAATACTGGAGTGGGTTACCATTTCCTGCTCCAGGGGATCTTCCCAACCCAGGGATCGAACCCAGGTCTCCTGCATTGCAGGCAGACGCTTTACCGAGGGCCAATCCAAAGATTCCTTCTAGATGCTAAAGAAGTAGATTAAAAAAGTTCCTCATTACTAAGTCACTTTCTCCAACTTTCCTTTTAGCTTTCATCTGTATCCTTCTTGACGTTAGGCTTAATGTCCACAGCAAAGTATCAGCAACTGTGTTGCCATCAAACAACTCATCTCCTGACCTGGGCTGGGGTGGCATTCACCATGTCAGCCATCTAACCCAGCTGGGATGGAAGAGAGGAGCAGCTCTCCTGCATTCCACTAGGGTTCAATTTACAACCCTGAACTAAGCCGGTTTTGTACAAAGTCAACCTCGTTCATTGTCTGAGCCTGTGCTGTCTGCTCCTACTGCCTCACAAGCTCATTTGAAGTCAGTGTTTTTCATATTTATGTTCCCCTCCCCCAGAGCACCGAGTGTGGTGCTCTCAACTGAAAGGCACGTAATGCTTGCCTGTAAAATAAATTTAAAACAGTGATGAGCTGTGTGAAGGCTGCTGAATGCCAGGGCAGCAGACTCAGGAGGAATACTGCCTCTCTAGCACACGCTGTCGCTCACCTTGCTGGTACCTCTGTCACTCAGCTGAAAGCAGGAGTGCAAGGCGAATACTCAGGGTACAGAAAAGCAATGAGAGTGTGTGCCTAGACACTGATGTTCAAGAAGGGTCCTGTGGTTAAGTCTCTGCCCGCCAATGCAGGGGACAAGCAAGGACTAACCCCTGGTCTGAGAAGATCCTACATGCCGCAAAGCAACTAAGCCCTTGCATCATGGCTACTAAGCTGGTGAGCTGCAATTACTGAAGCCTGCACACCTAGAACCTGTACTCCATAAAGAGAGAAGCCCCATAATGAGAAGCCCTTACACCACAACTAGAGAGGAGCCCCAGCTCGCTGCAACTAGAGAAAGCTCCTGCACAGCGACAGAGTTACTCCAGCCATAAAGAAAGAAAGGAAAGAAAGAAGGGGCTCAACTTCTAGGGTTCAAATCCTGGCTCTAACCACTTACTAGTTACATGGTTAGTTATTTGACTAGTCACATGACCGCGGGCAAGTTATCTAACCCCCAGCTTCATCCCTCTGCACACTGGATGTGATAAAGCAGTCCCTACCTCATCAGGCTTCTTTGGTCCCACAAGCCTCCTTGCCGTCCCAATCCCTGGAACCCAATCCAGATACCTGAATGGTCATCTCCCTCACTTCCCTGGGACCTCTATGAACATTACACCTTTTCAGTGAGGCCCTCCTGGACCTCTCTGATAACCTAGCATCTTTCTAATTCACAGTACTCACAACCATCCCACATGTTATACATGTATTTGATGACATAGTATCCCATCTCACCCCTCAAACACAGGACCTTCACTATGGAAAGAACTTTGTTTAGCTCTCTGATGCCTTCTTCATCTGAAATGCAGCCTGGCACATAGCCCTTGAGGGAATGAAGTGGAAAGTTAAGTGAGTTCATTTCTGTTAAATGTCTAGATATATATGTTCAATACGGGTTAGTCAGTATGTGAGCTACTATCAGAGTGGGGACCCTCTCTGGATGTCTGGTGTGGAGACCCACTTATTCCCTGGTGCTTCTGCTAGCGATGCTGGTCACCTTACCTTAGGAAGAAAAGCCTTGATCATCAGGTACATGCTGCGGACGTTGAGGTTCATCGAGAAGTCCCAGTCTGTCTCCTCACAGTCCAGGATGGTTCCATGATGGACGAAACTGGAAGAGTGATTAAGCAATGGGGAAAATGATCATCCTAAAAAACTTCTGGTGAATCTCCTTATCCTTTTCATTGTTCTTTATTGGCTCAGACCATTGTCCCTTCCATTACCAAGACTATTAACAATTCAAACCTAGTATCACTTAGTACATTAAGTGAAGTATTCTAACAACATAAGCTAAAAAAGTTGAAGACCAAAAACATCTTTTAAAAGAAAGCAGGAGTTTGGAAACTAACAAACATAGAAAATTTATACCAATTGCACAGGAAAATCCCTGTCATTAAAAACAAACATGGATTTCCTTGGTGGTCCAGTGGTTAAGAATTCAGGTTCCAGTGCAGGAAACCTGGGTGCCATCCCTGGGCAGGGAAATAAGATCCCACATGCTGAAGACAACTAAGCCCACTTGCCTCAAGCAGAGAGCTCGTGGGCCTCAATGAAAGATTCCTGCATGCTGCAACTGAGACCTGATGCAGCAAAAATTAAATATTTAAAAAACCCCAAACCCAAAACCAAACAAATGCGAACAAGCTGCAGAACGATTATTTCAAGAGCAAGAATGCCCTCTGGTGGCACAAATTTAACATTCTCAAGGGAACTCAAAACTCCAAGGAAAATTCCCCAGGCAAGAATACTGGAGTGGGCTGCCATTCCCTTCTCCAGGGGATCTTCCCGACCCAAGGATCAAACCTCGGGTCTCCTGCATTGCAGGCAGATTCTTTACCATCTGAGCCTTCAAGGAAACTCAATAAAAAAAAAAAATGAGAACAGACTGCTTAACTACTATTTCAAGAGCGCCCTCTGGTGGCACAAATTTAACATTCTCAAGGAGAAGTCTAAACTCGAGAAGACAAGTCTCAACATCTCAGGGTAGCAAAGTAGGACAGTTCTAACATATCAAGTAAACACTGCAGAACGAAGCAAAACCTTTCATATAAACTTCACTCTTTTTTGAAGTCACACTTCCTCAAGGAAGCTTTCTAAACACTTGAGTCCTACTTGATTTCACTGTCCCCTGGACCAAAATTATGTAATTAAGTATAAAAGATGGTTGGTTCTGATTCCTATGCACCACTGTATTTCCAGTTAAACTGAATGACAGCAAGAACCACACGCTCTATTTCTGTATCCCTTAGGTTGCTGAAAACTTAACAGATGCTCAAAACCTAATTTTGTTAGTTCTTTCCGAGGCTCTGCGTATATCCTCATATGAGGGATGAGCAGGTTATTTATAAACCTGATCATCACAAATTGTTGCTATAATTTAATTTCCATACATTGTAACATATGATAAACTATGAATGCAGAGATTTTTTTTTTAACTCTGAATCATGATTGGGTAAAACCACAAAACTATATTAGAATGTTCTAGGATTCTTCTACCAAGGCAGGAGCATAAATGTAACACAACCTAAGAAAAGTGGGACATCTGGAAGGTATCTGCTGAGATCCTATTTACTCGCATCTACTGACACCCCTGAGAAGGGAGAGTGGCTTCCAGCAGGGGCTGTATCTACATGCAGCGGCTCCAGTTTGAGCTCTGCATTCATGGTTCAGGAACCTTGGCACCACTCCATGACATTCAGTTAAGCCATCCTCTTTGTGTTGTGTATAAAGGTACAACGTGAACCTTCTTTTGCTGGGACTGACTGTCCCAGTAAGAAACACTGAGCTTGGGAAGTATAAAGAACTTGCTAGAATGTGCCGAAAAACTGGGGACATTCACATTTCAACAACCTGAGCACTTGGCTTCTGGTAAATATACTCTGATAGAGGGTCATTTTAAAGACACCCTCCTGGAAAAGTTTTTCATATTATTTCATCAGTCCTAGTGGAGCATCAGTGACAAGTCCGTTGGCATGAGCCTGGTACCAGCCCTGAAAAGAGCAATAGCTTCATGTTCATGCTGGTGCCTTGAGTGACCCTAACTGCCTGTAGACCTCAAGCCTATGTCATGTCTATGGCTGTTTCACTTGCTGATCTTAACTGTAATACAAATTCTGTCCAAAATTTTAGCCATATTCCCCAAGGAATATATTATGGTTCACAACGAATAATTCTGCTTTATCAAAATTCTTTGTGTGAAAATTGCAGAAAGCTTTCTGTAAGAAGAGTGGAAGTGAAAAGTTGTGAATTACCCAGCAACATTAAAGAGAACATCAAGTCTCTCAATGTCATTGGCAAACTGGTCAATTTGCTTCTTCTTTGTGACATCAAGGACCCGAGTCTGAATACCTGAAATATAAAACAAAGGGCACTATTTGCCTGTATCCCTAAAGGATGTTTAGCCTTGAAGATTCAGCTGTTTCCAAGCATGAATATGGTAATATCTGTATGGTAGGCTTCACAGGACCGCTGCCCATTCGTAGGGTCTTCATAATCCTAAGACTCTCAGTAAAAATCCTAAGTCTCCCCATTTGACCTCCCAATAACGCTTCTCTTTCTTCTTCCCCTTCTCTCTACCCTCTAAATTGAATGATAAAGGTCTTTTCTGAGTAAAGACTTCACAGTGACATAGGGATGATCGATAGCAGACGCATCTCAGTAAGCCAGCAGTAATCGCTGCAAGTCGGCTCATTTCAGCCCATTCTTTCCCCCAGAGGTCAAGTCCCCGCTCCAGTGATGCTGGACTCTGTGTGAAGGGGAAAGGCAGGGGCGGTGGATAAGGTATTGTTTTCACTTGTGTACTTTACCTTTATGTTAATTCTGTTATTTTTCAGAAATGACTCTGCTGGCCAAAGGTATCATCACTTATTTCTGGACCAAATTACAAGGAGAAGAAATGAGAGGCCGGACGAAGGGATGAAACACTTGAAAACCGGCCACAAGAGATCTGGCATGGGGGTGTGAGAGATACACACCGCACCAGCTACTCAAAAACCTCTGAACATTCTCGAACGAAAGCAGCAGTCATTATTTTCATGTTTTTTTTTTTTTTAAATACATGGTTCATTATTCTCTTTTGGATATAGAAAGAACAGTTTATAAACAGAAAGGGAAGACTGAAACCGAGGTTCAGAAAGACCTCCTTTCTATTGTGCATTTCTATTCCAACAGCTTGATTTGTTGGAATTACAATTCAAGATAGGCTAGTGCAGTTAACTAGGTCAGAGCAGATAACTAGGTCAGTGAACTGATCTGTGTTGATCATGGAACCTGTTCTATTCAACTTCCAAATAAGTTCTCTGTTCTGATTTCTTTCAGAGTAACCTGAAGCTCTCTGAAGTTGGAGTTAGGTTCAGTGTGGTGCAGCAAGTGGCAGAAAGAAACTGTTAGTTGCACTCTGCGACTGAGTGACTCTCTGCAACCCCGTAGGCTGTGGTCCACCAGGCTCCTCTGGCCGCGGGATTCTCCAGGCAAGAATACTGGAGTGGGTTGCCATTTCCTCCTCCAGGGGATCTTCCTGACCCAGGGATAGAACTTGGGTCTCCTTCATTGCGGGCGAATTCTTTACCGTCTGAGCCACCAGGGGAGCCCATAGTATAAGGGGTAATAAACACCTAAATTACCTCTTAGAGTCTCTGGTCGTGATATGTAATGTTAGGGCTGAGCTGTTTCCAGCCACTGGCTGCATGTGGCTGCTGAGCCCTTGAAGTGTAGCTAGTCTGGTTGGAAACGTGCTGTTAAGTGTAAAATACACACAGGTTTCAAGTATTTAGGAAAAAACTGTAAAATATCCCATTAATAATTTTTATCATGACTACATTAAAATTACAGTATTTTATATATGTTGAGTTAAATAAAATATATTCTTAAACTTTTCACCTGTTTCTTTTAACATTTAAATGTAAAGTTTAAATGTATATTTTACCAGAAAAAAATTATGCCTGTGAAAAACATCATGTTTCTCTTGGACACTGCTGCCCTCAGAGCAGCGGGGCTCAGAAGTAAGCAGTTGTCATAATGACTGTTAAATGGTCACATCTGATTTCATAATTAGCTACTGAATCCTTTGACATGTTGGATAAAGAAAAAATTTTAAGTATGCACCTTAAAAACTTTGCTCATACATTTAAGTGTACAGATTTTTGTCTGTAGGCTCACAGAATACAAACTGGATATGAGAGAATCTGGTTCTAAAAAGAAGCCCCGTGGAGCTGAACAGCTAAGGAATTTTCTCTCAGCATGTAAGGTGCTAATGCTTCATAATCCCTTGTAGACTCCAATCTCAAAATCAAGCTATGGAGGTGCTTACCTGGGCACTTTTCCAGTTCCTGAAGTTTGGATTCATTGATATCTGTGGCTATGACTTTGGCACCTTCTCTTGCAAAAGCCTGGTAGACACAATGCGCAAATAAATCGTTTGTTAACTGCTCTCGTGAACTGAGAGTCACTTAGCCTCTCCCCTTTATCTTACTGTCGCTATTGTTTTCCCCATGAAATAGGTGAAATTTCACACTACCTAGTCTCACCTCGTTTCTCACAATTCTTACCAATTTTATCATTAATTGGAACAATGCGACATACACTTGCTTGTCAGTTGACTTTGTCCCTGTGTGTGTGTGTGTGTCTGTATTTGGGCTCAGTTGCTCAGTCATGTCCCACGGACTGTAGCCCACCAGGCTCCTCTGTCCATGGAATTCTCCAGGCAAGCATCCTGGAGTGGCTTGTCATTCCCTTCTCCACAAGATCTTCCCGACCCAGGAATCGAACTCGAGTCTCTTGCATCTCCTGTATTGGCAGGTGGATTCTTCACCACTGTGCCACCTGGGAAGCCCGACTTTGTAATACCAAATAAATATATTTTTTTAAAAATCTAGGATTCAGTTATTGAACACCTCTCAAAATACTACCTTTCTTTGACTTTACAGCCTGCATTCTATTTCTCAGCAGCGACTAAAATCCAAATAATAAGAGAAAAATGGGTTATTTCAACACTTTTCCCCTTAATAAAAGTGGATTATTAGCTCAAGTGGGGGTTTCATGTGCGACAGGTTGATAATAAATTAGAAGGCAAAGATAACTTGATAGTCTCATAAATCTGGAGTCCTACCTCTGAAATGACATAATTTCAGAAAACAATGCACTTCTGTAGGGCCCCTTCAGTGACTTTATTATGGTGCAGAGAAACTGAGGTAGACAGATAAGTTTCTGTCTGTAGGTTACCAGTCTGTAAGTAAGTTTCTGTCTGTAAGGTTATCAGTGATGTCACAGGATAAATGTGAGGTATTCATTCCTTCATCTGCCTGGAGTCGGAGTAGCCACTTTTCTTTTTGCAACTTAAGATAACAGAAGCACAAAAGCAATGAAAAAAAAAAAGAGCAGAACTAAATAACCACGGTACCTGGCCTGATACTTCGGTACCTCAAAAGTTAGTAAGCAAGCAACAGAAGGTGATAACTTACCAACGCGGCTGCCCGGCCGATCCCCTGAGCAGCAGCTGTGAGGACAACGACCTTCCCATCAAGTCGGCCCATCCTGGAACCTGCGGTTTAATCTACAGACGTGTGTATTTAATGGCTTACACGGTAGCCCACGGCCTCATGCAGTAACATTTAGAAGGAATGGTTCAATGGACTCATTTAAGAACCTGAAGATACACACCTCTGTCAAACATTCCCACCACCTGAGAATATCCCCATTGATCTCCAAGAACGCTTACCCTAAATACCTAGCTTTGCATATAAGAACAGTTAGCAAAGCCCTGGTAGCTCAGTCAGTAGAGAATCTGCGTGCAGTGCCGGAGACACAGGTTTGATCCCTCGGTGGGGAAGATCCCCTGGAGAAGGGAATGGCAAGCCACTCCTGTATCCTTGCCTGAAAAATGCTATGGACAGCGGAAGCTGGAGGGCTGCAGTCCATGGGGTCGCAGAGTCGGACATGACTGAGCCACTAACACACACTGAAGCGGTAGCTGATGACAGACAGACATCAGACTTCAAGCCATCCTCAGGTCGTTTCAGCCTCTGCTGCTGATACAGCCCACCACCGTCCTCCCCTCTGCCCCTCCCTGCAAACACTGCGTGGGTCCTCCCTACATGGGACTGCTTCTTGCTTCCTCCCTTGTACACTTTTCTTGGGGTCTGTACTATCAATTATCTGTGGTCTGTCCAGGTCTCTTGGGAAGATTTCACAGTTGGCCTATGAGAGTCATTGAAAAATCAGAGTTGGAAAGTCAGATCCTGTCCAACCCCCCCCTTTTACATCTGAGGGAACTGATTTGACCTGCTCAAGGTCACAGAGCTGGTCAACGGCAAAGCTGGGATTAATGTCAGGCCTCCTGACTCTTCCGTATGTGAATATCCTACCCCACAGTGCTGCTGATTAAAGTCTGAGCATTCAGCAGTAACACTTGAACAGACACAAATAGTGATTTTTAAAAGGGAGGACTGAGGATGTCTGACATCGGGGAAATATGATGTACAGAAGATACCTGGTCAATTCTTGGACTGTAACAGATCGCAGGGTGACAGGAAAGGCTAGTGACGAGGTTACAGGTAGTGAAGAGTCAAGTGATGATCAGACGAGGCTGTCTGCAAGGAACCAAGTCTTTTCTCTCACCCTGCAGTTCTTAGTGTGTGCCTCTGACTGCACAACAAGGCACAAAATGGCTGCGTTCTCCCAAGACATCGCATCTGCATTCCAGGCAAAAAAGGAAAGGAGCAAAAGCCAGAAGTCTTTCAGAGACCTTGCTTCTCTATTTTGGAAGGGAGCCCATGTTTTGTTGGCCAGCTTCAGCAGCAGAGGTTAAGAATTTGAGTTTTATTTTCCAGTCTTTATAAAGTGAAAAGGGTAGGGGTCGGGGGAGGCGAGTTGGGTGTTGAGTGAGCTAACAAATAGCACATGCACAAAATAATCTTCCCAGTCTGCTCATTACCTGTCTGATAAAGAGTGCATCCAATCATTTCTTTTTGAACTTATCTCTGTTCTCCTCAGCCAACCTTGGCTTTTTGCGGTAACTCGCCTACACTTTCAAGCCTCCAACCTTTGTCCCAGCTCTCCACGCTGAGGGCTAGTTACTCCTGTGGGGTAATCGGTACCAGAGGATTTGAGAGCAGGACATGACCAGATGTGCATTCTGGAAAGCTCACTGGAGAGCAGGCCTGGGGAGGGACTGAGCAGGCCGTTTCCTTCGGAGGAAACTGCAGTCCTGCAAAGGCGGGGGACAGAGAGGGGTGGCGGGCAGCGGTGAAAGAGAGTGTTTAAGAGCTGGCCCAGGGCCTGGCCGCCAGTGCACTGATTTCAAAGAGATTACGTGGTTCGCCCAGTGTTTCACGGCTAGGAATTCAAAGCTGGGCCTCCTGATCGTGGATTCGAGAGAAGACCTTGTGGTTCTAGATCCCCACATGGCGCCAGGACCTTGGCTCCGCGGAATTGGTACCCCGTAACTGACCATGATGCCAGCGCTGCGGTCTGAGACCCATCTCTGAGTCTGAGCCCCATCTCTGAGTCTGTGCCCCCATCTCTGAGTCTGTGCCCCCATCTCTGAGTCTGGGCCCCCATCTCTGAGTCTGGGCCCCCATCTCTGGGTCTGTGCCCCCATCTCTGAGTCTGGGCCCCCATCTCTGAGTCTGGGCCCCCATCTCTGGGTCTGTGCCCCCATCTCTGAGTCTGGGCCGAGGCCACCGCCCCCGGGCCGTTTCCGTTGCCTGGGCGCCTGGGTGCGGCACGACTGCCCAGGCGAACCCATCTCGGGGACACGCCGAGCCCCGCCCGCCTGCCTTGGGGCTCATCCCGCGGACTGCAAGGGAAGCAGGATATGCGCCCACCCCGCCAGGCCCCTCGTCCGCCCCCTGGCTTCGTCGCGGTCTGACGGCTCTCCCAGCCCCAGTTCCCTCCTCATTTTCTCCCACACCACCATTTGCTCTAATAAAACTCGTGCGTGTGTAACTTTCTCTAGGAGTCAAGTTTCTTGGAGGACCAGACTGACAGCGCGTGGCTCTAAGAACTGCCCCCAGGGCCTAGCTTACGACTTCACTGATGCTCTGAATGACGGAGAAGCAGGACGTTCACAATGCCCGGCCTACTTTGATGCAATTTTATTTTATTTTTTTCCTGCTTACGTGAGTGATACATTTTAAGTTAAACCATGGTAAAAGTTAAGTTAAACATTCAATACAATATTTTAGAAAGGAAGAAACCCCAATAATCCTTACCCACCCCCAATCCTGAGCATGATGGATTAAAAAGCTGCTACTTTACCCTGCTGTTACCAGTGACTTCTGGCCCATGGCCCTGTGAGGGCACATGCCAGGAAGCTTCGACACCTAGAGAAGCGCTTACTGAAACAACTGCTGAAGCGCAGGGCAGCCGTTTTGCTCCCTGATGACGTCCTCCAAGCTGTCCTCCCTGTCTTTCTGGGGGCAGATTTTAGAGCCAAAGCCTTACAACTAGATATACTGCATTATTACATGAAAACGCATTTATTGGGAAAAATGAGTGCCAACATAATCTGAAATGGCGAAATGCGGGAACTTTTAATAAAATCAGACAAGATGGATTGCTTACTCCAAATATTAGAATCAAAGTGTTATTATTATTATTTGTTTTAATTTGGCCCACCTTGCTTATGGGATCTTAGTTCCCCGACCAGGGATTGAATCCCCACCCTCCGCAGTAAGAGTGCAGAGTCCAGAGATACAGAGCATTTACAGGAATTCTTGACCAACCGGAAAAAGGATGTCTACAATAGACTCCTTTAGCTATTGAAAAACTTAGCAGAGTTTCAAACTGTTTAAACATCCCTCCTTACCCTGAATTTACGGCTAAAATTAATCCTGAAGAATGTAATGTGCAGAACAAAGTACCGTCTGAAAATTAAAACTCCCCCCCGCCACCCCCCTCCGCCTCCAAAGTTTCTTTTTTAATATATTCGGAAACTTACTTTAGAGCCGCAAGTTCATGGCGTCCTCCAGATCACTGCGCCGGCAAGAAACTTAAGACCTTCGTGCAGAAGCAAGTCAGGTGCCTAGTAATGCCTGTTGGGATCTGTAGTTCAAATTCCTCCGGTTTTTAGAAAATTATGCGTACATTCACATATTTTATGTGTATTTGCTGCCATCTAGTGGAGCTTAGGTAGAACTCTTAACTCCGATTGCTAGAAGGAAAAAAGTAGAAAAGCATCTTCCTGGTGTCTTCCGTTCAGTCGCTCAGGGGTGTCCGACTCTTTGCGACCCCATGGACTGCAGCGCGCCAGGCTTCCCTGTCCACCACCAGCTCCCGGAGCTTGCTCAAACTCATGTCCATCCAGTCGGTGATGCCATCCAACCATCTGGTGTCTTAGAATGTGGAAATCACTTCCTTCACGAATTTTACCGAAGTCCTGCTCTTTTATTTGCACTTACTCTGTGCTGCTCTGGGGGCACTCGAGAGAGAATGAGCCAGGAGTTGCATGTGGAAGTTAGCAACGAAATAGAAGGAAACCAGGTCATTGAAGATCCTGGAGCCTTCCTTCCTGCACCCTGACCTAGATTGCTTTGAGGCGGGGAAATTAGTTCTCTCGTGCTCTTAAGGTATGGGTATGGTTATTTTGTCCCACGCAATCTATTCTAACACTCATTACAAACTCAGCGGCAGAATGCAGTCATCTCCAGTGTACGTGGAGGCTGAGTCGGGGAACTTCGAAGGGCATGCTGGTAAGAGCCAAAAATCAAGTTTGGCTGGAGAGAACCAAATATCGGATGGAAAAAGATGTACTAGATCATGTGAGCCCTCTCTACAAGGCTTACTAACTCATACTTAACAGGCGTGTAACTGAGCTTAGAGGCTGTTTAGGCTAGTTTGTGCATATGCTAGTTAAGTAGGGGCCTCTCAATGCCCATGTAACTCACTTTGGCCTGCCTTTTACTTTATAAAAGCTGGAAAACAACTCTCAAATTCCCAGCCTTCTTTGCTTCTCGAGCTGGTCAATGAAATAAATGTAAGCTGAAATCTCCGAGCTTTTCCTTCTTGGATAGAAAGCTGAGGCCTCTCTGAAAGGCTTTTGACTTTTGCTCTTTTCTCCTGGAATGCAGTTGTGATGCCTAGGGCCACGGCAACCATGTTGTGACTTGGTGTGAGGTCAGAAGCATAAGTTACAGACAGCAGGGTGAGTGAGAGTAGGGACTTGGTTCCTTGAAGAGAGCCTCAAGTTGACAGCGTTACCATGTGACAGGCTGTCCTATAGTAACCATTACTGTTGAAAATCAGCTCCCTGAACTTCTCCTTTGAGAAAATAAACTTCTTTAGATCATGTGTTTTGCTCTCGGAGTGAATGTGCATTTATAGCAATCACAGTGGCTCGGAACAAAGACTGTGAAGTCAGAAGGATGAAGGTAAGTCCCACATCTTTCCCTCACTAGCTGTCAGTCACTCGACTCTACAAATCTCAGTTTTCTCATCTGTAAAACAATCATGGCACTTGCCTCCGGGATGTCATGAGGAGGAAGGACTCGGCACGTGAAACCATCAGTACAACATGCCAGTTTTGTACTTAGCTGTTCGGTTGTCGTGTCCGACTCTGTGACCCCATGGACTGCAGGACGCCCCGCTTCCCTGTCCATCACCAACTCCCAGAGTTTGCTCAAACTCATGTCCATTGATTTGGTGATGCGGTCCAACCACCTCATTCTCTGTCATGCCCTTTTCTTCCTGCCTTCAGTGTTTCTCAGCATCAGGGTCTTTTCCAATGAGTTGGCTCTTCCTATCAGGTGGCCAAAGTATTGGAGTACTTAATAAAAGAGAGTTTTTGTACTTAATAAACATTATTAACAATTCAATTATAGTGGAAGCAAAAAAAAGGCACCAAAACCCAAAACACCTTGGCCTAGTTTTTGGTAACAGAACCTCATTGCCCTACTATAGTTTATAATGTTGAGTCTAATGATCTGAAACCATTATCCAGCTGTGCTCCTTGCTTTAATAACAATCCTTTTTCTTTGACTTTTGAAGATTTTGGAGTGCACATTTAATGAACATGAGAGTTTCCTGGTCAAGGCCAACTCTGATACTTTTTCTTGAGGCAGGTTTCTTGAGCCTTCCTTCATCCCCTGATCTTCAACAGTAGTGGTTACTTTATGACCACCTGTCACATGGTAATGCAGTATCTGCCTAACCATTTGTATTCAGTGGACTAAATTTCTCCAAAGCTAGGGACTGTAACTTTTTCACTTTACATTGTGATCAGTTTATATTAAGACTATATGAGTTATTTGTTTTCCAAATACAAAAAGTTCCACAAAGGCGGTACATTTGGGTGCCTAGACCGATGATGAGCATGCAGTAGATGGTTGTTTATTTGCTGAGTATGAATGGTAGGGTATAGGTAATAATTCTGCAAGGCTCAAGAGCATGTTTCCTATGAATATTTCGTCTTCTTTGGTCATAATTTTGCTTTTCAGATCATTTTAGTATTGTCTGACTGTAGTATTTTTTTTTTAACATTCTCACGAGTTTCCATTGCTGATTCTCATAATCATTCCTTTGCAGTCATTCACAATATTGAAACTTGTTATCATTAGGGGTAAACAACATACTAAGGGAGATGTCAGAGAGATGGAGGAACAGAAGCTCTCTTTCCCTAACAGACACCGACTTTACAACAATATATGGGCCAAAACACTTTTGTGAAACTTTAGAAGCCAGTTAAGAAGGGCTTCCCTGGTGGCAGTACCCCAGGTCAGGGCAGAGCTGGGAACGGCCCCACTGAAGCAGGTGAGAAGAGCTGTTTCACTACACCTGCACCCACCCCTCCCTCGGCTCGCAAAGCTTAGCCCGGCTGTTTCCCCATCACGGGCAGTGGGGAAAGAGGAGAGTGGAAGGCTCACCTGAAGTTCCAGCTTTCTGAGGGGAGTCCGAGTGACTGGTTACTCTGCCCTGACTTGGAGCGTTGGTGGAACTGGCGTGGCTTGGCACCAGAGAGCCTGCCAAGACTGCTGTGGCTCTGCAGTCGGGACCAGGTGCCCCCGGAGGCCTCATGTTGGGAGGGAGGAGGAGAGTGGGTGTCTGGTGTCCCAGCTTTCTGAATGGCTGCACAAGAGACTGGTTTGTGTTTCGCCTGACTTGGGGTGCTGATGGGGAAGCTGATATACTTTGGATGCCTGCGGGCTGATGAGAAGAAAGGACAGTGGTGTGACTTGCTGCTGCAGCACCAAGGAGCCTGCAGTACTGCAGACAGACACCAGAGGGAGATCATGAGCTCCTGAAAAAGAACTGTCAACCCTTTAGTTGGCAAATCTCACACGCAAGCCCGGAGAAGCGGCATACCCCCCAAAGGTTTCAGAGGCCCCCCAGAATCTATAAACGAGCTGATCGATGAAGATGTTTCCCTGTATGACACTAGAAGAGGTGGCTGCTTTTTTTCAAATGCATAAAACCCAGCAAAACATCGGAAGGTACACAAACATGGACTATTGAGAAACAAGATAAATCTCCAGAAACAAACTCAAAAAAAAAAAAAAAGAAAAGGTGATCTAAGAATTAAAAAGAATTAAAAATAACATAAGCTCAATGATCTATAAGAAATACGACAACTAAATGAATTTGGGAAAATAATGCATGAACAGCATGAAAATATTAACAAGTAAATAGAAACTATGAAGAAGAACCAAACATTCTGGTGCTGAAGAATAATCAAATTGCAAAATTCACTAGAGGGGTTGAACAGCCAACTTGATCAAGCAGAAGAATCAACAAATTGGTCATTTGAAATTATCCAGTCAGAAAAGCATAAAGGAAAAAAGAAAAGTGTCGAGAGCCTAAGGTGCTTATGGGGCATCCTTAGTGGACCAACATATGGTGGTACTTCCAGAAGAGAAGGGGACAAAAAGTTGATTTGAAGAAATAATGGCCCCCAAACGTCCCAAATCTGAGGAAGGAACCGGACACCCAAATTCAGAGAGTTAAGCAACATTCTGTTAGACTGGAAACCCGATGACTAATTTTACTTTTAATGGCCTTTAGTTTCCCTGGAGAAAGGAATGGCGACTCACTCCATTCTTGCCTGGGAAATCCCGCGGACAGAGGAGCCTGGCGGGCTGCAGTCCACGGGGTCGCAGAGTTGGCCACGATGTGTGACTGAGCATGCGCAGAGCGCAGTTTTGTTATTCAGGTGAACTCACCTACACTACTCAATGCTCTGGGGGAAGCAGACACCGTGAAGAATCAGCCTGCGGTGCTGCTACAGCGTCTTGTTTGGGTCACGGTGGAAGCAGAAACAGGCCCCGGTGAGAGGATTAGAGGAGGGGACGCTTTCCCCTTAGCGCAGTGAATTCCCATGGCAGTGTCAAGATAAGGGAAAATACCCAATCCACAGACTTTAGAATGACGACTGTGATGCAGTTCATAACCTCTTTCTCTGAATAAATATTCTTACCAAAGAGCCAAGAATGTCTTGAAATCACTAACTCTGTTCTAAGTGCATCTTGCTGTTTTGTGTGGTTTTTCAAAATCGCATGATATAAAGTATCAGATACTTTCTAAAACCATAGTTCCTTATAGATCAGAGACCCCTCTGGGGATATGACAAAAGAACGTATGGACCTTAGTATCCTAGAAAAATGGATCCACACACAAAATATTAAACTTCAGAGGTTTTACAGCTGCATGCACTCCAGATGCCTTGTGTATCTGTGGGCACCTCAGGTTTAGAAAACTTTACCTTGATAGAAACTCTGGCGCTGTTTCCTCATGTCTAAAATTAAAGGGCACAATAAATTGATGTGGTTTTTTTTCCAGTTGCTAATGAAGTGCAACCGACTACAAAGTCTAATAACAAACCAATTTAGAGTGCTTGCATAGGGAGTGGGGTGGGTTGTAACTGGAAAGTGAGAACAACTTCCATAGCTGTTACAACAAAAGGAAGATTAAAACTAGAAAATGCTGAGGCTGGATCACTTGCTATCCCTTAACAGCCTAAATATGGAATGCATGTGTGTATTTTTACAGCAAAATTCTGAAAGTCAACACAGAAGAAGAGAGGAGGGCCAGCTATACCCAGAGTATCCCACTAAGAAACCATCAGTCAAATTACATGGTGCTGTGATCTAGAACAACTAATCAAACATTTACTGAATGTTCAAGGCACTAAAAGAGTCTGTAATTTTGTTAATCAAATGATACTTTATATTAATTTATGAATTATGCTTTGGAATTCTCTAAGTCATATGTGGATAACTCACATTAATAAAAATATATACATTTTATGTATACATGGGAAGATTGGAAATTTCCTTCAATAACTTTATTCTTTATAAAACATATAAATAAATAAAACTTTTCAACTTCTAAAGGATTACCACGTTTAAGAAGAAGGTATATTGCTATCAGCATTCTAGATTACGGGAATGCATCCCATTCTTTCATCTTCCAATCCTAGTGGCAAAGTGGGAACTGAACTGAAGTTGGATTGTGACATGACTGCCAGGGATAGACACATAAAGACATGAACAGACATTTCCAAACATGGAATGTGGGGCCGCCGGAAAAGTGGCACAGTGGAGTCTACTGAGTCTTGCACTCCGGCACATCTTTTCCTGACGACATTTGCCAAGGACCTGGCTGGGGATTCTCGGTCTCCACTTCAGCAGTTTGTTCTTCTGAGGAGGAAAAAAAAAATGTCAACAACAAAAGTAACCTTAGTGAAAACATAGACAAAACCCAAATACAACTGAAGTCGAAAGGATGATGTGACAGTAGACATATGAAGAATAAAGCATGGTCCTTCAACACAGTCATTAATTTCCTTGTTAAAAAGGTATACTTCACTTCATCAGAGTTGAAGATGTTTATTCCCCATTATCTCATAAAATGAATGGTTAGAAAAACCATATTGTACATAAAACCTAGAAGTAATAAATTTTCAGTTGGAATCCATCTATCTGAGAAGCAAAGTGAATCAAACAGATAAGCTGGGTTTGGTTTTCCTTTGTCCTATTTTTAGGGAAAAAACTAGTGTGCTATACAAATACTATGTATTTTAGAGAATACTTAGCCATCATTGGAAAGCTTTCTTTGAAGCTTTAAAAAGCATTTTAACTCCATCTATTTATTTATAAGTAATAATTGTTTTAAAATTATATATGCATAAATCTAGGATAGCTGATCTTGAGATAATGAAAATTTCCTTTTATTATAATTAAAATTAAAAACTGACAATTTTTTGGATTGATATTTTATTAATACTAATTCAAGGATTATGTCCTTTAATTCTGAATTGGTGAATTTTTGATTTATGTATACCCCCAGCCTTTTATTTCACTTAAAAATCGTACCAGAAAGATCCACATATTGATAAAAAGACTTAAGCATTTTTATTTGCAGTTGGATTAGTTCATATTATGCATGTGCCTTTGGCACTGTCAAATAAAATCAAGAGGTGATTATAAAACTTATCAGTTTTTCCAAAGACTCTTCTAAAATGGTATGTGTATGTGTGTGTGTATACATCAAAAGCTCTATGAAAGTGCTAACTAGTGGAAGGTCCTTAAATGTTTGTTAAATACTATTCAAAGAGCTGAATAGTTTCAGTTTTTTTTTCCAAATTGCTTTTTTCCTTACTATCTCCCTAAGAGCACTGTCACGGTGCTGACTTGATCCAATTTTGATGTGCAGTTGATGAGAATGAACTGATTCCTTCTTTGTCACAGTTCCCATATTCTTGCCTGGAGATTTCCATGGACAGAGGAGCCTGGAGAGATATAGTCCATGGGGTCGCAAAGAGTCAGACACCACCGAGCAACTAAAACTTTCACTTTTCAGAGCTCTCATACACCCTGGCAACCTTTGCTCAGAGCTTTAAATAACTGGCAGCTGCCTCTTTTGATGAAGTTTTTTTGTTTTATGTTTCTACAAATGCATAATAGGGTATTTCCGACAGGTGGATACACTGTCACTCCTGGGCCTGTGGTGGGAAAGGCTAAGACAAAACATATTACAGAGCTTCTCTCCTTCCCCATCTCTATGGACAGTGCCTCTGCAGAGCTGGGGTGAGCCTGATACCCGACACCCACTTCACCCAATCAGGCACCGAGCCTGCTGATTCCACCTCCAAATCTCTCCCATCCGTCACATCTCCTCGACTCTACTGTACCTGGCCAAGTTCACGCTGTCGCCTTGCTCAGGCACCTGTCAAACTCTTGCTCCCATGATCTGTGGGCTACCTTACAGCTGAGGCAATGTGTTCCAAATGTATGCGTCATCACGCTCCTCTGCTCTTGTCCGAAACCTGAAGGCTTCCTCCATATGCCCTCAGGATCAAGTTTAAATTCTTTCACACTCTCTACACAGTCCTGCAGGTCTGGCTCTTACCTCCCTTCTTCGGTTCACTGGCTCCATCCACAGAAGCCTGTGTTCCTTGCACCCTGGCCACGTCAGACTCCTTCAGCCCTTCCCTGACTGCGGGCCCTCCTACTCTGGCTGGGGCGGTCCACGTTCTATCAGTAAATGCTCCGCCCTCTTCTCTGTTCAGCTAGCTCCAGTTAACCTGTTAGAGCTCAGTTCCCTTTTGCAAGGAAGACTTCCGTGATATTACTAAAATAAAAACCTACTGTAAGCCTCAGAGCCTTCTGCACTCTAGAATTTTCCCTTTGACTACCTGATTGCTGTCTATACCTATTACACTGTAAGCTCTAGGAGGACAGGAACTGCATCTAGTTTGGCTTATTACTTCACCATTAGGGTATAATATGTATCACAGAGTTGATAGTAAAGAATTTTGTTGACCGAATCAGTAAGTAAATGATACAAGTCTATGATCTGGCTTGTGTAAAAATGAATATAATCCTACTGGAAATACTGGCCCACTGAATTCATAAGAAAGTACTACTGAAAAAGTAAAAGTAGTTTTGTGCATAGGGTAGTGTCCTTATGTCCTTGGGAGTGCTGCTTGTCCATTTCAGGGAAAAGAGGACAGTTTAAGACACAGACTTCACTCAGGGTAAAAAGTGACTGCGCTTCAGAGAATCTTTGTCTCCCGAGAAAGTAATGAAGTCTCTGCCCGTGAACTTGGTCTGCTCCATCCTCTCCTGTTGATACTTGCCCTGTGGGGTCACGTGGTAAAGAGAAGTTCCAACTGTCATCCCTGCATTTCTGAGTGACCAGTACATTCACCTACCTGGACAGAAGCCTAAACCTGAGTTATCAAAATAGCGCATTGGAGGAGGTACTGGCAAAGACTTTGACCGGTTATCAAAAAACCAAGATTTCGGCGACTCCTTTGGCATAGGATCTTGGATATTCCATTCCTTGCATTGAGAAGACATATGGTGTCTCTTTTTAGAAGGTGTCCCAGTCACTTTAGGAGACTTTGGAGAATTCTCACAAGTTACTTCTTTGTGAACCTCTCTTTTTTTTTTTTTCATTTATTTTTATTAGTTGGAGGCTAATTACTTTACAACATTGCAGTGGTTTTTGTCATACATTGAAATGAATTAGCCATGGATTTACATGTATTCCCAATCCCGGTCCCCCCTCCCACCTCCCTCTCCACCCGATCCCTCTGGGTCTTCCCAGTGCACCAGGCCCGAGCACTTGTCTCATGCATCCAACCTGGGCTGGTGATCTGTTTCACCCTAGATAATATACATGTTTCGATGCTGTTCTCTTGAAACATCCCACCCTCGCCTTCTCCCAGAGTCCACAAGTCTGTTCTATACATCTGAGTCTCTTTTTCTGTTTTGCATATAGGGTTATCGTTACCATCTTTCTAAATTCCATATATATGTGTTAGTATACTGTAATGGTCTTTATCTTTCTGGCTTACTTCACTCTGTATAATGGGCTCCAGTTTCATCCATCTCATTAGAACTGATTCAAATGAATTCTTTTTAATGGCTGAGTAATATTCCATGGTGTATATGTACCACAGCTTCCTCATCCATTCGTCTGCTGATGGGCATCTAGGTTGCTTCCATGTCCTGGCTATTATAAACAGTGCTGCGATGAACATTGGGGTGCACCTGTCTCTTTCAGATCTGGTTTCCTCAGTGTGTATGCCCAGAAGTGGGATTGCTGGGTCATATGGCAGTTCTATTTCCAGCTTTTTAAGGAATCTCCACACTGTTTTCCATAGTGGCTGTACTAGTTTGCATTCCCACCAACAGTGTAAGAGGGTTCCCTTTTCTCCACACCCTCTCCAGCATTTATTGCTTGCAGACTTTTGGATAGCAGCCATCCTGTCCGGCGTGAGATGGTACCTCATTGTGGTTTTGATTTGCATTTCTCTGATAATGAGTGATGTTGAGCATCTTTTCATGTGTTTTTTTGCCATCTCTATGTCTTCCTTGGAGAAATGGCTGTTTAGTTCTTTGGCCCATTTTTTGATTGGGTCATTTATTTTTCTGGAGTTGAGCTGGAGGAGTTGCTTGTATATTTTTGAGATTAATCCTTTGTCTGTTGCTTCGTTTGCTATTATTTTCTCCCAATCTGAGGGCTGTCTTTTCACCTTGCTTATAGTTTCCTTTGTTGTGCAAAAGCTTTAAAGTTTCATTAGGTCCCATTTGTTTATTTTTGCTTTTGTTTCTAATATTCTGGGATGTGGGTCATAAGAGGATCCTGCTGTGATTTATGTTGGAGAGTGTTTTGCCTATGTTCTCCTCTAGGAGTTTTATAGTTTCTGGTCTTACATTTAGATCTTTAATCCATTTTGAGTTTATTTTTGTGTATGGTGTTAGAAAGTATTCTAGTTTCATTCTTTTACAAGTGGTTGACCAGTTTTCCCAGCACAACTTGTTAAAGAGGTTGTCTTTTTTCCATTGTATATCCTTGCCTCCTTTGTCGAAGATAAGGTGACCATAGGTTCGTGGATTTATCTCTGGGCTTTCTATTCTGTTCCATTGATCTATATTTCTGTCTTTGTGCCAGTACCATACTGTCTTGATGACTGTGGCTTTGTAGTATAGTCTGAAGTCAGGCAGATTGATCCCTCCAGTTCCATTCTTCTTTCTCAGGATTACTTTGGCTATTCGAGGTTTTTTGTATTTCCATACAAATTGTGAAATTATTTGTTCTAGTTCTGTGAAAAATACCGTTGGTAGTTTGATAGGGATTGCATTGAATCTATAGATTGCTTTGGGTAGTATAGCTATTTTGACAATATTGATTCTTCCAATCCATGAACACGGTATATTTCTCCATCTGTTTGTGTCCTCTTTGATTTCTTTCATCAGTGTTCTATAGTTTTCTATGTATAGGTCTTTTGTTTCTTTAGGTAGATATACTCCTAAGTATTTTATTCTTTTTGTTGAAGTGGTGAATGGTATTGTTTCCTTAATTTCTCTTTCTGTTTTCTCATTGTTAGTGTATAGGAATGCAAGAGATTTCTGTGTGTTAATTTTATATCCTGCAACTTTACTGTATTCGTTGATTAGCTCTAGTAATTTTCTGGTAGAGTCTTTAGGGTTTTCTATGTAGAGGATCATGTCATCTGCAAACAGAGAGAGTTTCTGAACGTCTCTTTTAAGAGTTCTCTCCTTCCATGTCTTGACCTCACTGGAAAGATGATGATAATTGCTTAAGTGTGGTGGTGGTGGGAGAGAGGGAGAAGCAGGAGAAAAAACGAGACCACAAGACTGCAATTCCTGCAATGTATTCACACTTAATTAAAAAAAAATGTTTTTAAATTGTGGTGTGTGTTAAAATATATGCAACATAAAATTTAGCATTTTATCATATTTACATTCTAGTTTCAACCTAATGCTTCCTGTTTGGACTGTTTCCACAGTTCAGAAAATGAAGTGAGGTCAGTATAAACTGAGTAATTGTAGTAAATCTCCATAATCATGGGGTTTTGAAAAGAAATGGTATCAGATTTTTAAATGAATCGATGATATGATCTAGTGTATTTTGTGGCCATAATTTGATAAATTAGTCTCTGGGGTAGATGACTCTAATCTATCTGTTATTTTAAGAGAAATAATTCGTGGTGCTTTTCTGGATTCATTATATTCTTGCTTCATAGAGGAAATGCTACCAGCATTGCTCTGGTTCCTCCAGAGAGACACCTGGGTGACAATCCTAGGGCTCCTTCTTCCTCATACTTATTTCTCAAATTCATCTCCTTATTTTTATCTGCATTGGCACCATTCCAGTCCATGCCAAAACTATCTTTTGCTTGGGCAACAATAAACAGACTCCTAAGCTGGGGCCTCCTATACTGAGATGCTGTCTGATCTCGGAAGGCCAGGGTCTCCTCCAGGGGAGGCAATCCTTCCGTTACATTTAGGATCCCCTCCAAATGTCCTCCCAATGACCTTTGGGGGCCTGTGCTATCCGGGCCGGTTCCCTTCCGGTATTTCATCTTGCACCTCACTGTCTCCGTCTCTCTGCCCTTGCCACACTGGATGTCTTTCAGTTCCACCAGCAGGTCACTCTTTCTGACTCAGAGCATGTGCACATGCCATTCCCTCCGCCTAGAGAGCTTACCTGCCTCTCCTTCCATCTGGCCTAACTTCTATTCAGTTTTCACACTGAATCTTAAAGGGTAATCTCTTGATCAACACCCCTCCCCACACCAAGAGTTATATATCTCTCTGTTATATACTCTTTCATAATGTCCTACTTTTTGATGTTGCTGTTTTCTTGATAGCACTCACTACAAAGAATTAGTTATTTGTGGACTTTACTTATTAGTTTAACACCTAGTTTTCCTCTGTTGTATCACTGGTAGAGGTTAGTACAAGATTCTATTCTTTGGTAGAAGCCAAACAGTTAAATTTGTTAGAAATGTTTACAGGTAAAACTAAGCAGCTACAGTAAGGGACCTAAGAGGCTCTTCCTTGAGGAGGGGCTCACTGACTTGGGTATATGGACTTGTGGTGTATATGAGCTGCCCCCTCAGAGATCTCTTCTTACTTCCTGGTCTTGGCTTAGTTAAACATAGGTCAGTTGATAGATGGCAAACATATGGAATGGTGCTACTGTATTCCTATTCCTTTTAGAAAAGACATATGAAAGGACATATGAACTTTAAAAAATATTTAGTTGGGAAAAAGTCTCCCCCCCAAAATAAAACAAACTAAAAAGACAAAACTTAACGTGTTTACACCATTCTCCCCAACATGTAACAGCCATAAGTATAATTTCTGTATCATATAAGGTGATCTTACCTTGACAGTTCATTCTTTTGCTTCATGAGCTGTTCATTTTGCTGCTTTAACTTAGAAACTTCCTTTTCTAGCCGTATATATTCACTTTTCAGGATAAGCGCTTTTGTGCTTTGTACAATGCCACTGCCACCTCCACAGGTTAAGGGTTTATTTGAAGGCTGAGTATCAACATGTTCTGATATCACTGTGGACGCGAAAGCACAGACACCTGTCTGGGTGGTGGGTGATAATTTTAATACCTCAAAATTTAAAAAAAAACATAACAAAGGGCAATAAGTCATAAAAATAAAAATACCTCGACCACCATCTATCTGGAAGTCAACCCTGACTTCCTTCTCCCTTATCTCACATGCCTATTTAGTCATCAATTTTAAATAGCTCTAGAACCCTCCTGCTTCTTTCTACCTACCGATTCCACTACCATAACCCTGTCAGTAGTTTGCCATGGCTGCAGTGGTTACGATCCTCCCCAGACAGAGCTGTCCCGCACTTGTCGGTCTTCTATGATCAGTGCAGTCACCTGGCAGACTTCTTCCTGCAGTGCGTGTGTGTGTGGGCTCCACCAACATTCAGTGAACTACTAGTGCTCAGTACATGCTTGTTCACTAAACAAACCTGAGCTGATATTAAAGCACACATTATTAAGGATTCTATACTACGTGTGCAAAAGTAATGTAAGGAACTGCTTCATGCATTTTAGATAAAACTGCATGAAGCTGTGAGGTGCTTTCTGATGGAGACTAATCCACTGGGTCACTGACAATTTCTTAAAGAAGGGTAAAGGTGTGTGTGGGGAAGGAAGATACTCAATGTCCATTTCCTTTTGAATGATTCTGAAATCAGGGACATCAAAGTCACAAATCAAGAGTACTTTTACTGATCCTCCTGTAACAACAAGGAATGCTCAGGTCTGTTCTTATCTCTTGAAGTTTTTCAGGTTGGAGCTGTAATCACCTTAAGACTATCTCTGATTATTTTTTTTTTTACTATTATCTATTTATTTACTTGGCTGTCAGGTCTTAGTTGGGGCATGTGGGTTCTTTTGTTGTGGCGCACGGACTCTCTAGTTATGGCGCACAGACTCTCTAGTTATGGCACACACGGACTCGCTAGTTATGCACACAGACTCGCTAGTTATGGCGCACGGACTCTCTAGTTATGGCACATGGACTCTCTAGTTATGCACACGGACTCTCTAGTTATGGCACACGAACTCGCTAGTTATGGCGCACAGACTCTCTAGTTATGGTGCACGGACTCTCTAGTTATGCACACGGACTCTAGTTATGGCGCACAGACTCTCTAGTTATGCACACAGACTCGCTAGTTATGGTGCACGGAGACTCTAGTCATGCACACAGACTCACTAGTTATGGTGCACGGACTCTAGTTATGCACACAGACTCGCTAATATGGCACACGGACTCTCTAGTTATGCAGCATGTGGCCTCTTAGTTCCCTGACCAGGGATTGAACCTGCATTCCCTGTGTTGCAAGGTGGATTCTTCAACCACCAGAGCGCCAGCGAAGTGTACTGATTTTTTCTTTTTTAAATGAGTGGACAATAATACACACAAATATCATCCTCCATTTGCTAGACCTTCAGAATTTTCAGTGTGCTTGCACATACGACTTTTAGTGTGATCCTTAAAGCAATTACATACATAAGCTAAGTCAGGGCTGTCCTCAGGGTTTCACACAGCATTAAACGAGGGCAATCAATTCAGAGACCTGTCCTTGACTGTGAATTCAATGCTTGTCCTACTCTACAAAGCTGATCTAAGTACTGGTCAGCATTTTCTCTTTATACATGAAACACAAGATACAGAAATACAGAAAAAGGTATAGTTTGAGAGATATATAGGCAGTAATTTTATCACTGGACTTGAAGACTGTTCCTATGATAAACTGGAGTCTGCCAGTAAGAACAAGTCGGATAATATTTAACTGGGAATGGATATTTTTACTGTGCATATAGTCACAATCTACTAAGATATGTGCTTGTATTTTTATTGGAAAGTGTACTTCTACCCTGATAGTTAAGTCATTCTTTTATAGTACTGAAGATACCTTCACTAATATGTAAAGATTTGATAATGCAAATCCCTGGTCAGGAAGATCCCCTGGAAGAGGAAATGGCAACCCATTCCAGTATTCTTGCCAGGAGAATCCCATGGACAGAGGAGCCTGGCGGGTTACAGTCCATGGGGTTCCAAAAGGGCAGGACATGACTTGGCATCTAAACAACAACTGTATATAATAAATATAATAAATTATATAATAAATACACATACATAAAAGATACATTATATATGTATATATAGTTTTTAAAATTTAAATACTTTAAAATTTAGATTCATAATGAGAAAGAATGGCATTTTGACAGGAAAATGTGAGTTCAGAGAACCCTTGTCTTACAGGCACAGAGGCATAAATGCCAGTGGAATGTAAGGGAAAACTCTTGAAGCATGTGGTGGGAGGCTGTGAGTAATGGGGAGATGAGGTTGGAGAGTTAGGACACTGTATCCTGAACCAGGGCACTTGGCCTTCACCTTCTGTTGAGAATGACCCCCTAATATAGTAAGTGATGAGGTCTGCTGGCTCTGGATTTGGACAAACCTGGGTCTGAAGTCCAGCTCCCTCATATACCAAATTTCTTAGCCTCTTTCTAAGGACTTCCCTATCCAAAAAATGGAGACAAGAGTAGTTCCAACCATGCACATGGTAGGCATTCAACAGTATTGGTTATTATCCACTCATACTCTTCCTTCCTAATTATCATAAATCTCTAAGATTCTTTTTGCTTTTCCTATTAAAGTAGAATGAAGTCTCCCCAATCTCGAAGAACTGACAACATAATCCCATTGACTTTCTTTGATCATGCTTTTAATGTCTTTCTTTCAAGGCCAACTTCTTGGTTCAGGGGTGTAACACTCACTACTGCCATTTCTTCACCTTTCTCATGAGTAGAACTCCATGACAACTCCTGAGCAGTGATATAAATGCTATAAAATGTGGGGATAAATCTCTTTTCCACAGGGGATATTTCCAGTTTTGGCCAGCCACACACGTTTCTCCATCGTTTTTGGTGAGAGCACACTAGTTTTCTCTTGTGGAATCCACGCCTCCTCTATTCCCTCTCTGCACGGTTCATGTGAGACTGTTATGCTACCCTTCCCAATCCCCATGCTCCCCCAGTGCTCCAGAAATGGGGACAGCCTTGGCCAATGAGGGAACCTCTTCCCTGGTGACCTTGACAGGTTCAGGCATGAACATGTGACCCATATCTGGCAAATGAGAGTCAGATTTAGGGTGTTTAGTGGAGCCACTAAGAAAGAGCTTTCTTTCTGCCGGGGATGCCAAGCCCAGGCTCGCTGATGACAATCCTTGGTACAAGAAAAGCCTTCTAAAGTATGAAGTAACTAGACAGAAGGCAAAGCAGGGTCTTACTGTGGAAAGTCAAAAAGAGAAAGCTCTAAATGAACAATTACACGGTCGATGCATCTGGGAGCAGCTGCTTTTCAGTTAGGTGAGCCAATAAATTTCTTACCAGCTGGCTTTCTGAAACTCGCCACCAGTTAAGTTCTCAGTAAAAATTCTCATACCCAAATTGGCCCTGAAGCAGCCCCTGTATACTAACATGTGTTTAGAAAGATGTTTTTACATTTTCATGAAAATGAAAAGAAAATAATGTATGTGGAAATGTTTAGTTTTAAAAGGCATTAAAATATACAGTACAGCTTAGCGGTTTTCTTTAAAGATAATGTTAAAAGAAATAAAAATTTAGCATTTAATAAAATAGGTATCCATTACTCAGGAAATTAAGTGAAATGTTTTCTTTTTTAATGATGCTAATTAAATGAAATACTACACTTAAAGGACCTTAATTTCTCTTAAAATATTTATTTATTTATTTGGCTGCTCCAGGTCTTAGCCATGGCACTCGGGAATTTTGATCTTTAGGTGCGGGCATGCAAACTCTTAGTTGTGGCATGTGGGATCTAGTTCCCAGACCAGGGATGGAACCCAGGCCCTCTGCATTGGGAGGGCGGAGCCTTAGCCACTGGATCACCAGGGAAGTCCCCCTAACTGTGTGTTTTTTTTTTTTAATTGTGTTCATGGAAGCCTTTAAAAGTCTTTGGGCCCAGTGAAGTTTCAAAAGAGCTATTTAGAACTCATCTGAGATGCTGGGTGTCTGAAATGGAAAAATTTTAAAGTGAGGAAATATGGGGAAACAAGATGGCTTCTCAGGCTTCCCAACTGGCTCAGTGGCAAAGAATCCACCTGCCAATACAGGAGCCTCAAGAGACATGGGTTTGATCCCTGGGTTGGGAAGATTCCCTGGAGAAGGAAATGGCAACTTAATCCAGTATTCTTGCCTGGAAAATCCCACTGACAGAGGAGCTTGGCAGGCTACAGTCCATGGGATCACAAAGAGTCAGACACGACTGAAGTGACTGAGCACGCACATATGCAGACGGGTTCTAAGTAACTCAAAGTTGCTCGTAGTTTGATGGAATGAGAAAAGTTGGGAAGGCCTTTAGAAATTACCTTGGCCGATCTCTTTCATATTTAAATAAGAAAGTTAAAGCTTAGAGAAGCTAAATAATTTTCGTTAATGAATACAGCTAATATCTACCAAGCTCCATAGAAAAGTGATAAAAATTTGTGAAATGAGATAGTTCTTTAATCTGTATCTCTGACTTTATGTCATTTCTACCAAATCACTGCATTATTTTACTCATACATACCTATAGTTTATTATAAGTTTGAAAACACATTTTACAAGCAAATAAAAATATTTAAATCTTCTATCATATTATGTTCAGCTTTACTTTTTTCCAATGTTATAAATGTTACAAACAAATTTTTTAAAAACAAAATTTCTTACTAATCCATTTAAATTGCACACCATTGGTAACAAAATAAATAAGAACTTTTATTTTATTCTCTTGACAAATATTGTTTATATATTTTGAATGATCAGTTAACTGGCAGGTGATAACTTGCCCTTAAATATGACTTAAGATTTTAAGAATTAAGGAACTTCCATTTAAAAAATCCAGTTCAAACAAGATACTTTGAGAGATTTTTGTATATCACAGAATCACACTGGGAACTAGAAAGGCAAGGTGCACTTTAGATAAATATTAAAAGGTCCCATACACAGAAAAAGACGTTTTTTCCTGTTTCTCAATCAGGCTTTTGCTTT